TCTATAAGTAGACTAAATTAGACAGTTGAGCTCTTCCCGGTCATCTGGGAAGATGGGACAAACTAATTTACAAAATCACGACAACTGCAGTATTTCATCAATTGGTTCATAGTCCAGTAGAATTAGCTTTTAAATCGGAAATAATTCCTACAAAAGATTTTATTGTTTTAATGGCTTCATTAGTTGCCCATTAAGACTCTCCTAAGTTTTCGACTTCGACGGAGTTGTGCTTAAGTGGTGGGGGCCCCCGAAAGGGGCAATTTTTCGGTTTTCCGGTTATACCGCGTAAAGGACTTACCCTATCAAAAAGTGGTCTTCATGACGGTTGAAGGGCACTTAATCCTGCATTGAATAAGACCAAATTCATATGTTTTGGACAAACCGTTCTCGCGCTAAAGTTCGGCAAAGTAGAAAATATACGTATAATTAATGACCCTCTCCATGTCCAATGGTTTGTTACCCACAGGCTTCCAAGTCTTGAAAAGGGCCACCTCAACCAGTGTAACCCTATCAAGGCTTACGAGCTTGATGCGCCTATCCTTGTTCGTCCCAGCCGTTCCTTAACTGCGGTTGCTGCACCTCTTCCTGGCACTCACCTGAACGACTCTGTGTTACCTACTGTGGCTGCCCCTCTTCCTTGTATCCTCCTGCATGACTACGTTGCCTAGCCGTATGCCTGGTCTAAGGTTCGACGCCAAAAATCAACAACAACAAGTTCATATTAAAACGCTGAAGAGTTTTTTGTTTGTTTGTTTGAACGCGCTAATCTTAAGAATTACTAGTTTGATTGAAATCATTATTTTTGTGTTGAATAGCTCATACATTGAGGAAGGCTATAGGATATATACAATCACTCTACGACTAATAGAGGCGAAGCAGTAAAGAAAAATGTTGCAAGCACGGGAAATAGTATTTAAACTATTTTCACTCGTACGAAGTTGATTTTGTGGCGTCGAACCTTGGACCAGGCATATGGCTAAGCAATGAAATCGTACAGGAGGGTACAAGGAAGAGGGGCAGCCACATTAGGTAACACAGAGTCGTTCAGGAGAGTGCCAGGAAGAGGTGCAGCAACCGCAGTTAAGGAACGGCTGGGACGAACAAGGATAAGCGAATCAAACTCGTGAGCCTTGTTAGGGTTACACTGGTTAAGGCGACCCTTTACAAGGCTTGGAAGCATGTGGGTAACAAGCCATTGGACGTGGAGAGGGTCATTAATTATACGTATATTTTCTACTTTGCCGAACTTTAGCGCGAGAACGGTTTGTCCAAAACATATGAATTTGGTCTTATTCAATGCAGGATTAAGTGCCCTTTAACCGTCATGAAGACCACTTTTCGATAGGGTAAGTCCTTTACGCGGTATAACCGGAAAACCGAAAAAACGCCCCTTTCGGGGGCCCCCACCACTTAAGCACAACTCCGTCGAAGTCGAAAACTTAGGAGAGTCTTAATGGGCAACCAATGAAGCCATTAAAGCAAAAAAATCTTTTGTAGGAATTATTTCCGATTTAATCAATTTTTGTGTTTAATTCTACTGGCCTATCAATAAAAGTAATTAACTACGAGTAAGTAATAAGGAAGAGTTAAGTCACGCTAATGAGTTTTAGTTTTCTAGGAAAACTATTTAGCTATTACCTACTTAGATTTAAAGGTAAAGAATATAGGTTTCATTTTCAATTCAATAATTAAATATTACCTACGTAATTTATGGGTATAGGCGGTTTAGCACCACTTAAAAATTGGTTAGTTACTCAAAATTATCATGATTTGGTTTTCCCTATGGTACCTATTTACCATTAAAGAGTAGTTTTTGATCGAGTAAAATGGAATGTAATTAGTTAATTAAACGTGATAATGATAAAAATGGTGTAAACTAGGTAATAGTTAATACAAATCGATAATTGCCCGTTTTCACCATCTATCCCTAATGTTTAAGTGACCCCTATGAAAACAAATCCCTGTTAATATCTTATGGGTCACTTAAAAATTAGAGATTGATGGTGAAAACGGGCATTAATGTCGTTAAATTGATTGTCTTTTTCCTAAATATGTTACTGTAAGGGATTTTTATTTCCATACGCCATACTAATTTTTAAAAGGTTATTTCAACCGCATTACATTATATTATACTAGCTGACCCGGCGAACTTCGTACCGCCTTAGCGTAGAGATTTTCTTAATATTTTTTTCCGTAAGAACCATCCTTGGACTTCCACAAACATTAAAAAAAAAGAATTATCGAAATCGGTTCAGCCGTTCACACGTGATGCCGTGACAACGCGAAACGGGTTTCATTTTTATATATATAGATTAAATGCTTACTTAAGGAAGGACAAATGTGGAAGACTATTCGTCGAGCTTAAATTGATTCTTGCGACTTAAAGAAAAGCCATTACACTCCTACTCAATTTCATGTAGGTACACTAACTGTATTATATTTGTTATTTATTAGAAATTTTGCCGATAGAATATGGTCTTGGCCGCAAACCATGACAACCATTATTTTTGTTATCCATGTTTCCCAAACTGTAAAAGTGCAAATTCCTACTCGTAATTCATATTCTACTGCTGAAATAAACCCTAAAACATCCGAAAAAGAACCCTTATCTTTTCAGCAATCTATATATATAAAAATGAAACCCGTTTTCCGTTGTCACGACATAACATGAAAACGGCTTGACCGATTTGGCTGATTTTTTTTGTAGTTTTCTAATACCTTGTACAAGGTTTTTACGGAAAAAAATATAAAGAAAATCTCTACGCTGAGGCGGTACGAAGTTCGCCGGGTCAGCTAGTAGATCATAAAGATGAACCTGACCTCGTTACGGACAATAGACGTGTTAGGCCACCAGTCAGTCCAGTGGACGTGTTTCTTCACTCCTTACGGCTGAGGTGCACAATCCTACTTTAACTTTGACAAACGTCAAAAATCTGTCAAACTCCATACAAAATCACAAGCTATTGTTATAGTTACGGTTAAAGTAGGTAAGTTAGTGCAACTCAGCCTAACTCTTTGACCTTCACTGTCTACTTACCCATTGATGTCTAGCCTTGTAATTTCAAACCTCGATTGAAACTTGAGCACGGATTCAAAGCTTTGATTGGTTAAATATTAAAATATTAATTAAATTCGAACATAGGCTCGAGTTTGAGTGTCGATCGATTCAGATAACGAATCATTTAGGTTTTAAGACTTGAAGAACCAGGTTTAACATAAAACAATAGCACATGGTCATCATTAGGTGCCTGGATATCATCAAATAGGTAGGTACCTACTACATTTTAAATCTGAAAGGGAAAGTCATCTACCTAAGTAGGTACTAATCTACTTAAATAATTCATATCTACCCTATTTTACTCTAATGTCGTAACTGTAATACCTACCCTCCTTGCATAAACCCTCCTTAACAACTTATTAGATATTCAAAGACTAGAGGAACACAAGTTAAGTAGGTAGGTCCTACACACCTCTAATAAAGTCCAATAAAAGTAATAAAAGTAGTAAAACTGCCACCTTACTTCACTTACGCATTTACGTAAACGTATTGATTAAACAATAAATAGCTATATCCATCCCACCTACCATCTTACCTACTTACGCTATGTGCCTATTTACTTTTCTTACATAACAGATTTAATTAGTGACGAAAGTGCACATTACATTGTTTAAAAAGTATGTAAGTACGAAATAACACCAAAAAATCATTATTTAAAATTGAATTACTTTACCTACCTACACCCCGTAGATTTTTTTGTGAATCATCAATCATTTAAGTGAATCATCCAACCCCACAGTTAATGAAAGCTCAATTCGTTATAAAAGGTAGGTATTAAAACCATATTAAAGATTTCAAGCCATAGCACGCTAGGTAGGTACTATTAACTTAATATTTACGTAATACAATGATTTTTAATTACTACTGCTAGATACAACATGACGTCATAACTAAAACGCGTCGTAATAAACTATCGCGCTGCATTAACCAATAAATATCAACCCCCACGTTACTTTATTTATTACTGTTCTATTACAATGACCAGCGAACACGTGTATGGCAAACTGACTGAAAGCGCTTAGCCTTGAAATACATTATACCTACCTACCTAGTCCGTACTTTATGCCTGTACGTACGGTTCAAACATCGATTTCTGATTAACACATCGCTATGCTATTTAAATGAACAAGTTTGCGACGAGATAAACATAAGAGAAATACAAATAAAAGCAATTTAAAACATTTAAGACGATTATGTTAGTCAACAAATCGAATTGTACCTCCATCGCTGTCTGAAAAGCGTGCCAAAGCGTTTAATAACACGCGCATAAGATACAGAAAAGTTGTTTTGAACAAAGAAGTGGACTCGAGTCGAAAATATATATCGCAAGAGGCCCAGCATACTCCGGGCGGATGTTATATAGCTACGTAGATAAAACCTTCCGCCGTTGCTAGCGCCGCCGGTGGCGTCTGAACGAAACAAACTTCATGCCGCGTACACCACTGCAAAGAGCTTTCGGATGATAACCGTAATGTTTTATTATTTTTATTAAGTATGCAAGTATTTTTTTTTGTATAAAAATATGCTAAAAATGTGTTTTTTCGTGAAAATATATTCAGAATTAGATAAATAAAGTATGTGAATTGGATTAAAACTTATAAATGGTAATAAATAACTGCGTAGTGTGATTAATGAGGTAGTAGCCTAATACTGTTTTTTGGTACGTAGTAGGTACATTAACTAATGTGGTGTAGCTGTTTTTTAAATGATATAAAATTATGATTCTGTTCATTTTATAATTTTATTCATGGTAAGAATTTAAATAAAAAAATGAAATGTACCTAATTCCAAAAAAGAAAATGTACCTAATTCCAAGAAATAAAATAAAAAAAATTAACTTATTATTATTACTTCATTATAACCATATTTTTATTTATAACCTTTATTTACTAAAATATATCTAAATTTTATTGAGTTTTGCAGTAAGAAATAAAACAACAGCTCTAGTTAAATCAATTTATTCTCTACAAATTTGTCGTTCTACTTAAAAACCTTTAGAAAATGCCCATTCTTGAAGATCATTGACATAATCTCCTTTTACATCGATAAATGTGCCTAGCTCATGTACTCTAGTTTCTACATATTTGTTATGTTTCTTTTTTAATAAACTTTTTATTTCATCGTTCAGTAACCAAATATCACCATCAATTCCTTTCAATCTAGTAATTTTGCGCGCACCTCTGTTATACAAATTCAAATATATCGGAATTTCGTGGTTTTTATTTCTTTTTAAGAAATAAGGATGATTAACTGCTTCTTCTTTAGGTGGTACCCAACCAGACGGATAAGAATCTTTAGGCTTCACTTTCGGAATGGTTTCAAACGGCAAAAGTTGTTCAACGAATGCCCATTCAGGTGGATTTTTCACTATTTCATAATTGTATTGTTCAGATATTTTGTCCGCAAATGGTGACTTCGCATAACTTGAGTAACTCCGGGAGGCGAGTGTTGTCTGAAACAAATATACATAATCAAATTAATAACGTAGTTTAAGTACCTACATAGGTTTTTTTTATTAATGTGTAAGTAGGTACTTACACATTAATAAAAAAAATCGTGAATACGATTATTGACACACATGATGTTAATATGACTCATGAATCGAATTATTACTTGGTACTTAAATGTGTACAATAAAAAATAACTAGAAGTTGATGTTAAAAAAAAACAAACAATTTATTAATGATATTGAACAGTCATCTGAAAAAATATTATTATCTGCAAAAATTACAAGAGCAACCTCTTTGGACGGGTGTACACCCATAGTTCTGTCACATGTCGCAGTATAAACGACATTACAGCACAACGCGAGTGGAAATATAATAAAATAATTACCGATAGTGATTCTGGGGCTGATTTTATTCCTAAATCAGTCGAGTTGTTCAAGATTTGTCCAGTTTTTCCGGCAAAAAGTCGCGCAAACGCGCACCGTGAACGCAACACCGTCGCCATTTTGAATAGCGAATAGAGCGAATTGCTACAAGAGCAATAAGAACTATATTATTCGTTTCGAAGGAAACATTATGGCGGACGCCTGCAGACATTTGGGCTTTTCAAAAATCGTTTTCTAAGTATAATCGCGAGTTTTTATTGAACTTTTTCGCATATTATGGTGCATTGTGTGTCCAACTAACTGTTTATTGTGGTTTTTGGAGGTTTCGTTGGATAAATTGTGAGTATTTTGTGAGGACATTGCAGAGGTGCGCCACGGCTAGGGAAATGATTTGGTGCTTTCGTCCGACGCACACGCAGTCGCTCAGCTGGTAGGTGGCGTTAGGTGTCAGTCGCGAGGTGAGACCACCAAAACAACGAGTTTTTCATGAGTTTTCCGGCGCGATTTTCTAAGCAATGACAAATGTAAACAAGTGTTTCGTCAACTTTTTAAGTCAACTATTGGCCGGAGAAGTTAAATATGCAGTGAAATCTGTAATTATTTCTACAATAACGTCAGAATTGTGCGCGAACTTGGGTATTGTCGAGCGCTCGCTTTTGTTTACTGCGATTTGTAGATTCAATTTATATGAGAATGGGGTCAAAATGTGTGATAATTGCTCTCATAAAACGTTACTTTATTGTTTTAATTAACGAATAATGTGAAATTCATCAAACCAGTGAACGTAATTTGCCATTAATTTTTGACGATGTCCAACAAGTAGTTTGGTCAGAGTTATAATACCACGTTGATAAATACAGCCATGGTGACTTATTTCTAACTTTCTTCATTTCAGGTCCAAATGGCAAGTGATATAGGCATATTATGGCTCAATGTCGTTCCCACTTAAAAGTAAAGGAGTCATTGAGAGTGAAAAATACTATTTATGCTAATAAAGACGACAGCGGCTGTGATACCTGCCAAGAAGAAAGTTTAATTGACAGTAACCTGCTTGAAGTGGATGGTGACACCGACCCAGCTGACCCTAGCTTAAAGAGCCCTCGCAAGCAGCGAGCACCCTCCTCAATCACTCTCCGGTCATCTCACAGAGGCAGACCTGAACAGGCTTTACCTGATGTCGGAAAAACGGGGTCATCTCCCACCACACATTCCAACATGAAAACCAAACAGGTCAAAGATGAGTCGGACAAGAGTATCGATGAGGACACTATCATAGAACCCAAGACCCGCGCTCGCAAGAAGGCATCTGACATAATTGAAGAGGAAAAAAATAAACCCGGTCAAGATGAGCCGAAGACATCGAAAGACTTAAAAAAACCTGTGGCCAAACCCAAGGCAGTCGTGAAGAAGCGACCTCTGGGCATCAGGAAGGCTTTAAGGAGCAAAAAAACTGTGGTATCAAAAGACAAAATCAAAGCTGTAATCAGACAGACTGTAACTCGAGGAAGAAAAGCTGCAGTCAAGCCTGCTTCTGGCAACTCTCAAGAAAAGGAAACCGTCCCATTGATTCCTATCACCGAGATCAAGAAGGAGCCTGTGGAAGAGGCCACACCGAACTCAAGATCATCAAGTCCTAAAACAGCTGGCAGAAGGCAGCGGCTCACATCTGACATGGTCATGATGAAATCAGTCCTCGCAGACTCCCCGAGCAGCCTGGTGCTGGGACCACGGACTAGCCCATATTCGATGCGATCTGAAAGAAGTAACAGCCCATTACTTTCGGAAGGGAAAAACCTTAGAAGCGGAAAACCAAGAAAAGTTAAAAGCAACTTATTGAATGAAGTTGTTATGAAAGAGCAAAAGAAAAGGCGTCGATTGCTCTCTGACTCAAAAGCTGATGCCACAGAAGCTAGTGAAGACTGCAAGAAATCGAAAAGGGGACGCTCCTGTTCCAGAGACGGCAGTGAGATATCCAAATGCTCGGACATCACTGAATCAGACATAAGTCTGAGTGAACCAATCAATGATGCGGACGGCAAGGAGCTCAACAAAAAATTAGATAAATCTAAGACTGACCTAGATATAGATATTGAAAATAATGTACAGATCTCGACTACTGAAAAAGTGCCTTCTCTTACTGTTGACTCCAATATAGCTGAAACCAAAATAGATGCAGAACCTAGTTGTGTCGACATTGAAAAAAATAAGAAAAAATTGAGCTTAAAAAGAAGTACTTCATTAGACTCGGACAACAATAATAGTAATAGGCTAAAATTAGAGAATTTAAATTCGTCAGATATAGAACAGAAAATATTGATGAAGACTGAAAATAATACGCTTTTTGAAGCTCGTAGTAGTATACTGACTAGTATGTCCAAGACTTTTAATTCAAAGGAGATGTCTAAAAATATCAGAAAAGCAAGAAGGGGGAGGAAAGCGGCGGCCACTCCGCGGCCCGCCCCGAGCGCGCCCAAGAGCTCCGCGCCCGTCGTCGCCAGCGACTCCACAGAAGACAAGCAAGAGACTCTCGAAACATTATCAAAGGAAATCGACGACTTAATTAATAATCTAGACCAGAACATCGACCGTGATCATGAAATGGCAACCGCTACAAACCCGGTCGAAAATATTTTAGAAGAAACACAGACCAAAACGGTCTCTAAATTTTATGGAATATCAAAGCCTCTCGGTGATAATAATAGCATAATAACTCCTGAAACTCCAGTTAAAGATAAAGATTCGATATCATCGGTGACGAATGAAAATACGCCTTCCAAGAATGATGATAGCGAAAATATTAGACTGCACTATGAAGAAGATTCAGTTGAGAAATCCACTGATACCAAACACACTGAAATAACTTATAAAAAAGTTAATCCTGTAGCTAGCATTGATAAATTGATGGACAGACTGAAGGAGTTTGAAGAATTTGATAAAAGAAGACAAAGACAAGAATCTGAATCCAAATCAAGTGACAACAAGTCAGTTATGGTTTCAAATGATGTTGTATTAATTCCAAAATCTGGAGCTGAAATAAAACCATTGAAGGACATTCAGTCTGTAAGGTCACCTGAAAGACCTTTTGAAAAAGAGAATGTATTAAGTTGTTTCGAGAATAATTCAGCTATATCAATAGTCAAAAGGGATCAAGTTAGAAAGTCTGTAGATATTGACTTCACCAATTCTGTTACTTTAATCAAAAGGAATAGCATAAGTGCTAGAAAAGAATCAACTAGTTCCAATCATTCGAAAGAGTCAGATGCAATCAGCATTTTTGAGAAGTCTTTGGGCAAGGATGTAACATTGACTGAGATCAGGAAATCCGTGGACAAGTCTGCACCAGCTGCTCAGATTGATAAACATCAGTTGGCAACAGTCCAACCAAATAATGCAAGCCAAAACTTGGGAGGTGTAGTTTTGGACTCCAATCAGATCTCTATAACTCCTAGAGTGGTTAACGACCCTAAAATTAGCAATAATGAGGTCAAAATAATCACAAAACGGAAGTCTAGAGAATCCATATCTAGGAAATCGTCGGAGTCTGCAAATGAGTCTGAAGAGAAGATGGCTACGTTGGAAAAGATAAAATCGCCGGTGCATCAGATGAAGTCTCCGCCCCTGCCCTTACCTACGGCACCTGTGGCGGCCAAGTCCGAGGCCTCGCAGCCGATAGAGACAGAAGCTCTTCCTCCACCTATCGAAGAGTTAAAAGCATTACCTGAAGATACATCCCTGACCACAGAGATCTCAAAGGTTGAAGGCACACCAATAACAGAGGCTCAAAAGCCTGAACCTGTTGTGACGAAACTGGTTGATCCGGCGCCTATAGTGGAGGCTAAGATTGACGACAAATCGCCAAGTCCTGCCATCACCCAGGAAGATAAAAGTCTGAAGCAATCTCCTGAAAAGATGGCGGTTGATGAAAAACCTGACGATGCCAAAGTAGAAGAGACGAAACAGGTTCCGAGTGAGGAAAACAAGATCAAAGCAACTATGGAGAAAACCCCACCTGTTGAGCCTGCGAAACCCGTCCGTAGTACGAGTAGAAACAGCAAGTCTGCTCGGAATTCTATAGAATGTCAAGCTGGTCCCAGCAACGTCTTGCAAGAGACTCCCGAGAGTCAGAAGCGCAAGGAAAACGTTTTACGGACGCTGGGCTTGCTGACGCACAAGGCAGCTAAGGAGGCGAAAATTGAGAAATTGAAGGAAAAAGAGCGCATATACAAGAGTAAAGCCGCGAAGTCCGCTTCGGGAGCGAGTGTCGTGCACACTGGAAGTCTGAAGGCTGTGATAAAAATTAACAGGAACTCTGGGGACAAGGATAAGAAGAGGTATAGGAGTTCCTTGAAGATGACCTTCCAGAAAAGCAAGAATCGATCCGGGAAGCTGGCTCCGGACGGTGGCGATGCGGCTGATGATGACGACACTTACTACACGATAGAGAGGCGCGAGGTGAGATCTTTTAACTATTTTATTCACCCTCTCAATTTTCCACCATAACTTAATTTCCAAAACTGTGCAATTGGAACTGCGAAAATCGTCAGATACTTCATAATTTCTCATTCATCAATTTATTTAAAAACCTTTTTAGTACCAACCTCAATCTAGCAGCATTTTACCCACAAAAAATGGAGTAATTTTGTAAGCTCGAGGTAAATAGAGTAAACTTTTGGTCCACAGGGCGGCGCGGGCGCAGCTTCCGATGGTGGGCACAGAAAGTCACATTACAGTAATCGACTTAACAATCATGGTGTGTGGATTATGCACTCACACTTAACTCTGTGACTATGACAAACATGACTATCAAAAATAGCTTTTTAATATTGTTCTGTAATCTAAAATCTTAATATTTAGTTTCATTGAAACTTTTTCACTAAAAGTCATGTTTGAAACAAGTTACTTATTTTATGTGCAAGAGTTCTTTTAGAAAAATTGGCAATGTTTGCACTGTTGATAATAACTTAAAAAAAAAGTTAAGTGCTAATTTATTTCAACCTTTAAATTCATAGAGGTCATTGTAAATTTGCCTATGACTATAACTTCATAAATATATGTTATTATTAAAGATATTAAATCATTAAACTTAAAAAAAATACAATTTTTAAATTAAAATAGAACTCTTGCTGCATAAATGGCCAAGGTTTCACGAATGCCTAACACTCACACAACATTTAATTTTAAAAGCACATTATGTACTAATTAATTATAAATAATGTGTTTATAAAATAAATAACTCATTTATTTTTAGTGAAACTTTCATATCTGGTAGAAGGTATTTTAAAAACAAATCAATGTTTTAAATACTCCACTTAACATTTTGATCTAGGTTAAGTTTAAATTTTTATTTGATCTAAAAACAGCATGAAATGTAAACTTTTAACATCCTGCATGAATATAAACCTGGTTCAACTAATTTAACCATTTTATGTTTACATTCTGATATATTATAACAAATTATTATCTTCCAAAATGAACTATCTTAATTGTTTTATGCACAAGACTAATGAAGAATTCAAATACTAAAAAAAATAAGGTGGTCAGAGAATGCCTGTAGCTAAAATTTGTTCCTAAAGTTAGGACCTTAAATTATTTATACACAATACACAGTCCCATCCGAAAAAGAGTGATTCTGTTGCAATTGGTGTGTGTGCAAGTAAATTAATTATTTGAGATGTATCTCTTAAAAAAATATTCTATTTGAACATCAGAATCATCCCTTTCGATAAGATAGCAGCAGATAAGTATTGTTTAAATCAAAAGGGAGGCTTTTGAGTGATTCTTTTTATTTCTCTTTTCGCTCTAATAAAACCTTGTATTTGATTCATCCTATCAGAAACAGAAGCGGTCCCCGAGCCGTCTGAACCCAAGGAGACCCTGAACCTGGTGATCCCGGAGAAGGCTTCTTCGTTCAGCATCCACCCGGGCCGGCTATGCCAGGATCAGTGCTTCTACTGCGGAGGGAAGTTCGGACTGTTCGACACGCCCTGCCATATCGCCCAGATGAAGAGCGCTGAGAGGCAGAAGAAGGTTTTGGACAGTGAGTAACTTTCTATATTCTAGCTAGGATGTTTAGGCATGGTTCTTCAAGTCTCGCTGACATTGGGAGAAAGTGACCCTTAACAGGATTTTATTGCTTATTTTATTCGGAAAATATACAGTGAAACAGTAACAGACAAATGTTGGTCTCGAAGCGCTGGTAGGGTAAAAAGATTATGAGACATGTAGAGGCTCCTTAAGAGCAAAAAGACGATTTGTAAGAACTATTTATTAGTCTAAACAAATAAATAAATTTTGACTTTGACAATGCTTAGTGTCCCGAACATAAGTGACGCGATATTTAGCGAAAACTTTTGCTCCAAGAGCTTGCGCATTGCGCTCTCGGACATTTCAGATGTGTATCCAAGACTAGAGCTTTAAATAATCCCAACTCAAGAAGTTGTTTCAAAGTAATAATAATAATTAGCTGCTCTAGCGTCGTTTCTTTTCTTTAGTTTTCAGTTGGGAAGAAACAGACAAACAACAGTTTCCAAGTATGGACTAGACTGGACATTTTGGGGATTGGTCATTATGAGAATTATTATACATTTCGGGAAATGGACATTCTGAACTTAAAGGGTTCTTTAAATGTCTCTCTTGTCTCCAGACGAGGAGAAGCTGACGAGCGACAGCTGTTTATGCGACGCGTGCTTCCGCCACGTGGACCGGCGCGCCAACTGCCCGTCCTACCGCAAGCGCCCGCTTGTCAAGCAGCCTACCGATACCCTGATGATGACCTCGGCTCTCGACGTGTAAGCACAGAATAATAATAAGTACTACGTACAGAAGTTTTACTTCGCGAAGGCATTTAAAAAAATGTATGCTCAATGTCATTAACAATATGGTGTAATTTAGCTTGTCTCAAGAGTCAAGCAAGTTTGTCAGAAGTTTTGTTGACAAACGTCAGTGATCGGTACTGCGCCGAAGCTATAGGGCTGACTTCGGTAAAATGATGTGACGTGAGGTGTCAATCTGCAGAAAATGGCGTAGGAAATACATGATTTAGCATGAATTATCATGAATAATATTAACTACTTATTTACCTCTCAGTGTCTTCAGGCAACTTAAAAAAATACATTCTGTGTTTTTATTATTATTTACGCAGTTAAATACTGCACAGTATTTAGTACACCATTTTCTTTATTTTCTTCCATCATACACAAGAATACGCGTGCGTGAGTCAATGTTCGCTCGTATGTGAGGCCTTGTCGAATAGTACTCTTGTAGGGGGCAATCGTGCGTGTTTTGTTTTCAATGTAAACTCGCGGAGATGAACAGGCCTGGTGTAAGTATCAACATACAGTTTAGATTTTTGATGCTGGAGAGAATAGTATGCATGGGTACAGTAGCGTCAAATAGATAGTGACGCTGAAAGTAACCATAATCATAACCGGCGTTTATTGTATGGGGTTAGACAAATTTTTGACGTTTGTTAAAGTTAAAGGAAGATGGTGTTCATCATCATCATCAACATCAACAGCCCTTTACAGTTCACTAATTGACTATGAGCCTCCTCCATGTCAGTGAAGGGTTTTGCCATCTCCACGCTTGGTAGGCGGGTTGGAGATCGCAGTTTAAAAGATTAACGTTTGTCAGAGAGCGTTGCTGTCCGTTCTCTGTGTAATGTGTAGTCCTTATTCGCCTCTTAAGATACCCGCGGGAATAGTAGGGATTGTTGACAAATGTATTCTGCCGTCACCACACGGCGTAACCCATGGAAGATGGTGTCACCACAGAATAATAATAAGTACTACGTACAGAAAGCTTTAAATAAATGTATTCTCAATGCCGTCAACAATATGGTGTAATTTAGCTTGTCTCGAGCACCGTTTCGTTGACATACATCAGTGATCGGTACTGTGACGGTGCCATAGGGCTGACTTCGGTGAATTAATGTGTGACGTGAAGTGCCAAACTTCGGAATACATGATTAATTCTTTTATTATTCAGGCAGTTAAATACTGCACAGTATTTAATACACCACCGTTTTTTTTTCTATTTTCCATCGTACATAGTTGATGTCTTTCCAATGCAAATGGGTGAAGAATACGTGTGCGTACGTCAATGCACGCTCGTGATTGTCCTGTCGATTAGATGTCCCAGGAGGGGTCGTCGCGCGTATTTTGTTTTCCATGCAATTCCACATTTCACCAGCTCGCACTAAGCGTTTCGACGACTCGTTTATAATGCGAACAGCTGGGGACTGGAATTCGCTGCCTGCTGCTGTATTTCCTGAACACTATAATCCGGGCGTTTTCAAGGCGAGAGTGAATAGGCACTTACAGGGCAGATATGTACCATCCTAGACTGCATCTCACTTAACATCAGGTGCGATTGCGGTCAAATACCTGCCTTGTCTAGCATAAAAAAAACGCGGAGATGAACAAGCCTGGTGTAACCCAGCGTAATACACTCGACATCAAATAAATCGCACCTCCCGCGACAAGCATTTTCAAACGTATGCATCCCCACTTCCCACCAATATTGGCACCATTTAAAAGCCTAGTCTGTTCTAACCTTCATTTCATTAAAGGAAAGGTTTTTACCCCAAAAATGTGTCTAGGGAAGTATCCAGAGTCACTTCTTCAAAAAATAGGTAGTTACGCTAAAGCCAACTTTTATGGCTATAAAACTGTTAAGTTGGGATTAATCGCTATCCATCTGTTAAAGAGGACACGTGAGATCATTATTTGGTTTTATAACCTATAATATTGGTCTAATTGATCCCATAGGTGGGCCCAAAGTGAGGTATTTTTTTCTAGTCACATTTATGGTATATGTTAATCATTTATTAAGAAATTAAATGTGTTTTTCTTTAAGGATATTTATTGGGCTTTCAAATAACACCAATATTGTTGGGGCACCATGATTGTGTCAGAAGAAAATCGTTAAAGTTCGCGTCGCGGAAGGTGCGGTTTATTTGATGTTGAGTATATTTCGTTATTCCCAGGAGTCAGCCCGAGAAGCCTCCGAGCCCTACCGAGGAGGAGAGCGAGGAGGAACCGACTCCAGGCGAGGCTGGGCGCCGCGCCACGTGCCACACCGAGGCCTGCGCCGCGCCCGCCGACCACTCCATCCGCCGCAAGTGGCTCATCAAGATGCGCTCCAGCGTCAACAAAGTGGTCAGTACACCACCACCCTTATTTTAGTAACTAGACCAGGGGTGGCAAAACTTTTGACCTGTGAGGTCTACTTATGCTCGAAAATATTCCTTTCGGTCGGTCAATTTATAGATAGATAGTCAGTGTTCTTGGAGCGAATAAAATAAAATAAATTTTAAAATAAGTTCAGTTTATTTAACTCTCGCGGGCTACTAAAATCGTCTTCGCGGTCGACCTCTTGGCCATCACTGTACTAGACAATCTGTAATAAACATTGTGGCAGGTTATACTCTACATTCGCCGCAAGTGGCTCATCAAGATGCGCTCCAGCGTCAACAAAGTGGTCAGTGCACAACCACCCTAACTTTAGTAACTAGACAATCTTTAAAGCCACGATAGCCGAAAGGTGAAGGGGTCCCGGTCGGACTAGCCGACTCGTGATCCGAGGAACTATTTAGTTTAGTATGAGGGGCTAACGGGACTATTAGTAATTTAATTTGTAAACTAATAATCTTTAAAAAAGGATCTGTAATAAATATTGTGGCAGGTTATACACTACATCCGCCGCAAGTGGCTCATCAAGATGCGCTCCAGCGTCAACAAAGTGGTCAGTACACCAACACCCTAACTTTAGTAACTAGACCAGTAAGCCTAAGATGTGTGCCACAATAGATCAAACCTGGTCGAGTTGGCGCAAATAAAGGCCCAGAAACCAATAATAAAAAGCCTAAGATGCGCGCCGCGATAAAAGGTTATCACGCCATTTCATCGATTTTGCCCATACATTTTGACTTCGATAAAAGTTATCACGGCGCGCATCTTAGGCCTACAGGGGTGGCCAAACTTTTAGCCTGTGAGGTCTACTTATACTCGAAAATATTCCTTGCGGTCGACTGCAAGGTAGAGTTTAGAAGAGTGAAATAAAACATTTTAGCAGCAACAATACTACCACGTCACGACCGACCGAAACGTGTGAGTTGAGTACCTATATTTATAGTTAGATAGATAGTGTTCTTGGAGCGAATAAAATAAAATACATTTTAAAATAAGTTCAGTTTATTTAACTCTCGCGGGCTACCAAAATCGTCTTCGCGGTCGACCTCTTGGCCATCATTGAACTAGAAAATCTGTAATAAACATTGTGGCTGGTTATACACTACATCTGTCGCAAGTAGCTCATCAAGATGCGCTCCAGCGTCAACAAAGTGGTCAGTGCACAACCATCCTAATACTTAGGCTGGGTTTCACCATCTTACTATTTAGTTGAGTCGAGTAATTTGTAGCTAAATGTGTCCGACCACCAACTTTTGTCGAACAGCTAGACAACTTAGTAACTAGACAAGCTATAATAAAAATTGTGGCAGGTTATACACTCCATCCGCCGCAAGTGGCTCATCAAGATGCGCTCCAGCGTCAACAAAGTGGTCAGTGCACAACCATCCTAATACTTAGGCTGGGTTTCACCATCTTACTATTTAGTTGAGTCGAGTAATTTGTAGCTAAATGTGTCCGACCACCAACTTTTGTCGAACAGCTAGACAACTTAGTAACTAGACAAGCTATAATAAAAATTGTGGCAGGTTATACACTCCATCCGCCGCAAGTGGCTCATCAAGATGCGCTCCAGCGTCAACAAAGTGGTCAGTGCACAACCATCCTAATACTTAGGCTGGGTTTCACCATCTTACTATTTAGTTGAGTCGAGTAATTTGTAGCTAAATGTGTCCGACCACCAACTTTTGTCGAACAGCTAGACAACTTAGTAACTAGACAAGCTATAATAAAAATTGTGGCAGGTTATACACTCCATCCGCCGCAAGTGGCTCATCAAGATGCGCTCCAGCGTCAACAAAGTGGTCAGTGCACAACCATCCTAATACTTAGGCTGGGTTTCACCATCTTACTATTTAGTTGAGTCGAGTAATTTGTAGCTAAATGTGTCCGACCACCAACTTTTGTCGAACAGCTAGACAACTTAGTAACTAGACAAGCTATAATAAAAATTGTGGCAGGTTATACACTCCATCCGCCGCAAGTGGCTCATCAAGATGCGCTCCAGCGTCAACAAAGTGGTCAGTACACCACCACCCTAACTTTAGTAACTAGACAATATTTACTTGTTGCGCTTACCGCGTTACACTCATCACTGATTTAGGCTGAGTTTCCACCAGAGATGTGCGAGGATGTGTAGCGAAGGATGTGTTTGTAAAGAACCAGTAGAATCGCTTCATTTACATTGCCTCGGTATATCTGGTGGACACGCAACCTTAAGACCCAGCCGGAGTGTCATTCCACAGTCATGCCAGTCCGTCCGGTCGCCGAGCAACCCGAAGCTACCCATCCTTATCGCTCGCGCGTAATAATATTGTTGTCGCGGCTGTGCGACGGGCGGTCGCAGTAAGTGTGCGAGATGAGGATGGGTAGTTTGGGGTCGTTCGACGAAATTCTATCTGCTCGGCGACCGGACTTTACAATAGTTGGCATTTTTCTAGTGGTTAAATATTGTTCTTTTGTTGCAGCTAAAGCTAGAATGCGACTACCCAGGCCTCCACACGATCCCGCTGTGCGCGGAGCACCACCGCGCTCTGGCGCCGCTTATGGCCTGCCGCCTGTGCCGCCGCCGCATCACCAAGCACCACAACGTGCACTTCATACACCACGTGAGTACTGGTTGTAAGAATGTACCCTAGTAGTTGCCAGAGTGTACCCTAGTAGCTGGAGTGTACCCGGGCCCGCACACATCCCGCTGTGCGCGGAGCACCACCGCGCGCTGGCGCCGCTCATGGCCTGCCGCCTGTGCCGCCGCCGCATCACCAAGCACCACAACGTGCACTTCATACACCACGTGAGTACTGGTTGTAAGAATGTACCCTAGTAGTTGCCAGAGTGTACCCTAGTAGCTGGAGTGTACCCGGGCCCGCACACATCCCGCTGTGCGCGGAGCACCACCGCGCGCTGGCGCCGCTCATGGCCTGCCGCCTGTGCCGCCACCGCATCACCAAGCACCACAACGTGCACTTCATACACCACGTGAGTATTGGTGTATTCCGTTGTAGTTGTAAGAATGTACCCTAGCAGTTGCCAGAGTGTACCCTTGTAGTTGCTAGAGTGTACTCTAGTAGTTGCCAGAGTGTTCCCTTGTAGTTGCCAGTGTACCCTAGTTGTTGCCAAAATGTATCCTAGTAGTTGCCCGAGTGTACCCTTGTAGTTATAAATAAATAATAAATAATAAATATTTTGTACAATTTGGACAATTTCACACAGCGCCAGCTAGCCCCAAAGTAAGCAACTTAATGCTTGTGTTATGGGTGCTAGCTTAACGGATATACTACTTATTTACTTTTTNAAATAATAAATAATAAATATTTTGTACAATTTGGACAATTTCACACAGCGCCAGCTAGCCCCAAAGTAAGCAACTTAATGCTTGTGTTATGGGTGCTAGCTTAACGGATATACTACTTATTTACTTTTTTTTTAAATACATAAATATTATACATAGTCACACCCAGACCCGTCACAGAAATTAAAATTCATCATTTCAATTTCTGCCCGGCCGGGAATCGAACCCGGGACCTCTCGGCATAGTAGTCCGTTCTGAACCACTACACCAAACGGCCGACAAAGACACAGTTGCCAAAGTGTATCCTTGTAGTTGTCAGAGTGTACTCTTGTAGTTGCCAAAGTGTATCTTGTAGTTGCCAGAGTGTACCCTTGTAGTTGCTGAAGTGTACCCTTGTAGTTGCTAGAGTGTACCCTAGTAGTTGCCAGAGTGTACCCTTGTAGTTGCTGAAGTGTACCCAGGACACGGGCCCGCTATGGCTTGTATAAACACCAAAGTTACTCATTCAGTTGTTGCAACATACCTACTTAGTAAAAAATCATATAGCCTCTTAATGCTTACTGTTAGATAATGGCCTCTCCCATAGAATCCCACAGTGAGTGGCTGAGTTATCAGCTAACCGCATCTCTCACTACATAAACTGTACTTAGTTCAAAATAGAAAAATGCTGCTACTATACTTCATTTCATTAGCTTTACAGTAACGATCATCAGATCGTATCCAGACGCAAGCGCATGGATGCTGGACAAAGGCCTCTGTCTGAGAGTGTGGCAGCACCAGCAGTGGACTTTTGTTAGAATGAACGTACATTTACAACATAACTGCCACTTCTTGTGACGTATCAAGATGAATTTTAAATATTTATTAAAACGTCGTTTTCCTTACAGGGCTACCTGGAGTTGAATCCGTTACTGAAAGAGGCGGGAATCCCGGTGCAGTTTACAGAGCGGCCTTTGCTATGTAAAGTGTGCCGCTTTTACTGCACGCTGCTGCAGCGCTCGGGACATGACGACAACCAAGCCAAGGGCTATCGACGCAAGTGAGTACATGGCATTCTAGACCCTAAGACGAGGGAGTAAGGTTCAAACTCCCGGCGCAGTTCACAGAGCGGCCATTGGTTTGTAATACTGCACGCTGCTGCAACGCTCGGGACATGACGACAACCAAGCCAAGGGCTACCGACGCAAGTGAGTACATTTTAGACCTTGAGAGAAGGTAATAAGGTTCACAGTAGGTACTGAAACTCCCGGTCAGTTATGGGTGGTTGAAGCTAGTACACGGCATTATAGACTTTAAGAATATGAGATAAAGTTCACTGTAGCTACTACGGTTGTTGGTCACCAAGAGAGGTGTGCTGCTTCTACAGCACACTGCTACTGCGAGCGCTCAACGACAACCAACAAGTGAATTTAGTCGATTTTAAGATGTAGGCTAGGGTACGTAGCATTGTCGACCTTAACATGAGGGAATAAGGTTCGCGGTGGCTACTAAACTTCCAGCCAGTTTTACCAACAATCCTCTAGAGTTAATGGGACCTGTCTACAGCTGTAATATTGATTAACAATTATGATTTTTTTTTTTTCAGGTTACTTCAAATACACAACGTGGCGGTGCCCCCTGAAATCCAAAATGAGCCGATGGACGCTATTATGCAGGATGAGAGCATCGCCAATAAACAGAAGAAGAAGCAACGCATCAAGTCCAAACAGAGGAAATCCTCCGACCCTGACAAGACGGGAGACAGCGAATCCTCAGAGAGAACCACGCCTCACGACGAAGGCTCCTCCCCTGAGAAAGTCAAGGACGAACAAAGGACCGCCCAACCCCTCGAAGAAGACATTGAAAGCCTGATCTCCTCAAACAAAATCCTAGTTCCTGGAGCCAAACCTCCTTCAGAACCAAACGCTCAGAGTGACGGATCAGAGTCCGAAACATTAGACATGGATATGCCTCTCCTGCCTTTAGATAAACAGACAGAGCTTCAATATTTGCTGCAAAAGCAAAACAACCCGGCGCAGTTCCTGCAGAAAACGCAGGTTCTGAACAAAACTGCGAATTTGACGCAGAAGCAGAGAGATATTATGAAGCTGCAAGCCATGTCTGGTGTACATAAACCAGGTCAACAGCAGAGAATTAATGACAAAAACGCCAAGAGAATACACAAATTGGGTCAAATAGTCGCCCACAAAGACAAGACCGTCCGAAAGGACGACCTAGAAATATTCGACCCGGATAAATGCAAAGATGGAGGCATACCTGTACTCAAAAACATATCCCTAAACGACGAGTGCACCATAGAAACTATCCCTAACAAGAAACCAGCAGATATCAACACCCTCAAAAACAAATGGCAAATGTCGGAAAGTTTCACTCAGGTGAAGAAAAACCTTAGTGAATTATCAAAGAAACTATCAACGGGTGAGGCTAAAGAGCAGAAGAAAAGTGACATGAAATACTCAAATCCTGTTCGTCGTCTAGAGACCAATCCTTCCATATCCGTCCGGGAATTGTTCCCAGGTGAAGAGGAGATGAACTTACAATGTAATATAGAGTTCAATAATGTGAAAGGTGTGACACCCGAGGGCTGGGAGAAATGCTCCAGCGTGATTCAGTACGACGCTGATACGAGGCGTCTGTGGCACGAGCTGCAGCGGCCCTATGGGAACCAGGTAAGAAAGATAAGGAATTATTTAAAGAGCCCTTTACAATGAGGGCTATCGTTTTTATACTTAACAGTTGGCACCCCTGGCGATTGACAGGACCTTACTCTACAGTGGCGCTTACTGGTGAGCGCTAAAACGATAGCCCTCATTAAAGCCCCCTATAATGTATATTCTTTTTTATAATGTATATTAATCAGACACTACGAAATTTGTTCTGCCTAACACTCGATGTTTTGTTGTTGAATATGGTTTAAAAATGATAACTTTTAAGAGTGCCTGACCTAAGCTGTAAAAATGCGTAATAGGTTCCAAAACACTTAAAAATATTTTTCTTCATATTGATTTCTGATATTTTAATAGTTACTCGGTGTGGAAATGAATCCATCATCCGAATCCATGATCATTAAAATAATGTCTTTTTCTTGAGTTGTAAATGTTGTTGTTTTATGTATATTTTAGTCAAAATTTAATAAAATCATTTCATTTTCATTCCAGTCTTCCTTCCTACGCCATCTGCTGCTGCTAGAGAAATATTTCCGCAGCGGGGACCTAGTATTGGCCCACGGCGCCGCGCCTCACGCTGCCATGTACAGCGATTCAGTCCAGGCCCGGCTCCGAGCATATGACAACATTCCCAGCGAGCCCAGACGAGACGCACCCGTCAGCCTTATCGAATACCGCAAGAAACCATCTGTAAACGGAAAAAGTCTCCTCAAATCAAACCAAGACAGCGACAAAGACCCGAAGAAGTCAATGCCGCCGCCCCCAGGCGTGCTACCCAAGCCGAAATCCAAGTCCAGCGAGAAGTCAAAGTCTAAGGCACTGCCACCAGAGCTGATAGCGATTAATACTCCCAACGCTCAAGGCCGCAAAGCGATTCAGAACGTTCTGCACAATATTCAGCAGCTAGTGAAGGGTGTATCGGCGTCGGATCCTACTGAAGTGGCAGCGGCGCCTTTGCCTCCGCCCATGCCGCCGGCGCCGGTGCCGATAACGCCGGTGCCGGTGAAAGAGGCGCCGCGGGACAAGAAGGAGGGGCCTAAAGCGGACACGCCCAAGAAACAGAAGACTAGCAGCAAGCCGTGGCGGCCTACGCTCATGCCTATTACTGCGGTGAGTGAACATTTTTGGTTCAATACTTAACATAAGTTTTTTATAATATAATATTTTATCATGAATAAATAAAGAAATAAAATTTATCAAAAAACTAATATATCAGTTCGCGTTTGAAATATGTTTCGTTGTTAAAAAGCAGCGCAGTTTTAAAGTGCAGCAGCGGCACTTAAGATTAATGCAGTTTTTTTATTAGTTATATTAAAGTTAGATGATCATTCAGACTACAGTGATCTAATACAATTTTACTACCTTGAAATATTTGTGTAGTTCTTTCGTTATTTACTTTCTCTAGGTGCCCTTGATTATTATATATTTTTTTGTTTTTATTAGAGTTTCGTTCATTCATTGACTGAATTGTGACGATAAATATTAATTTGAGCTCAATTTCCATCCACAGGAGAACCTAGCGAAGATCGCCCGCGAGCCCACACAAGTGGCGGTCGACGGGCGCGCGCTGCCGTCCTTAGTACAGGTGATGTCTTCGGGCACGCGCTACCACATCACGCTGCAGGACTACAACAAGATGTGCGTCATGCGTCGCGAAAAACTCCAACAACTCCAAGACGGCCGCCGCGACAACGAGCCCGTCGTCACTGAAATACAACCCTCCACCCTCCTCGGCAACGGGGGCACCCTCGTCCAAAACATCCCCCAGGACGACAAAACCCCCGACAAAGCCGACCCCGAAATCATCGTCCAACCCATCGGCTCCAACGCCGCGAACATTCTCAAGAACGTCGGCCTGAAGAACATCACGATCGCGCCCATCCCGCCGAAGACGGCCACCGTCACGTCGCAGACGGCGCCCGCGCCCTTCGTGACGTCGCCGTCGCTGCTCGTGACGTCGACGCCGGTCAAGCTGCCGCAGCTGGGCCCGGCCGTGTCCGTCACGAGCGAGACGGTCCCGGCGGTGTCTCCCGTAGTCGCGGCGAGCCACATGGTCCTGCCGAAGATCCCGAAGTCCCTGACGGTGATCCCGCAGACCGTAGCGGCGCCCGAGCCCCGCCCATAACGAAGCCTGATCTTCGTGGTGGTGTAGCGACCGCCCGCGACTGCGCGCGAGTGACGTCACGCCGTGCGAGTGACGCGGCGTTGTGCAGTCGGACTCCTAGTGTATCGAACCCCGTAAATTATTGATGACGCCTATTCTCGTGTCGCGTGTGGTGTAGTGTAGTGCCGGACGGTGTGCGCCGCCGAGGCGATGCAATATGATAAGTGAGACACCGGTTGAGCCTTATAATTATACTGTGTATTATAGTAGTGTAGGAGGACGTTTTTGAGCGCTGTGAATTATGGTGACGAGGATCGTGTTGAATATATTGTACTCTCAAATATTAGGTTTTATTATTTTATTTTGTGCAAATGATACGAAGGTCTTTGTGAATTACGATTCGTTTGTTTCATGTCGTGTTTTAAATTGGAACCACCTATATTTATGGTACACTTCCTGTGAGAACCTGATATGTTCATGAGTAAAGTGATGATAGTAAAAAATATTTTATGATAGAAGAAATATTTTCCTACAATAGCTAACTAAATCACTATTCTTTCTATATATGTATAATAATATACTTACATATTAGGGATGCTAGGAACGTAATCATTAAATTAAGATATCCCATGAACTGTCGTAAATATTGTATATTATTGTATCAAATAGTTACATAACTGTACTGCCAATTATTGATGAGTCATAAGACTAAAACAAATAGTATAATATATCCATGTAAGCAACACAAACTGTAGAGAAAATATACATTCAAAATTCTCTAGTCAGGTTTTACAATGCATTTATAATTTATTTGAATAATTCACGAAGAAACCCGCTGCCCCGCACCTCGTATCATTTGCGTGAATGTAGACAATTATTATGTATAGATATGTATAGCATTAACGATATGTTGTATATCATTGGAGCATATTTTTCCATTGTTGTATTTTAAGATTTCCTACTGAATAACCTATGTACGCAATAGAATAATATAGAACACTAAAACTACCAAAAAATGTCTTTTCACCCACTAAACAAATTCTACCTACCTACATTTAAACTGTATGAATGAACTCTTATTCATCACAATTTACACTATCCTCATTGTAAACTAATAAAGAATAAGTATTGAAAATGACATTGGTCCTTATTTAGATGTAACTTTTATTATACATTATTATAGTAAACCCACATAACATACATTGATGAATGATAATTACTTATATTAAATGATCTTACTATTGACAGAGTACCAGGAGTAAATTAATGGTACACACAACAAAATTACAAAGAAGTGATTAAATTCGTGCCTAATTAAGGTAACAATTTAATAAATACATAGTGTATGTTACATACATAGCACAGCAGACATGTACATACACAGAACCAGATGAGTGAAGTTTCGATTTTATATTCATAGAGCTCATGGTTGAAAATTGTATGTTAAATACATATTATATATCTATTGTTGAGAATTACTAGTATTTTATTTTGGTCCACTAATAGATTACGGTCCAATGTTAACTTAGGTGTTGTACAGCAGTTTGCTAAGGCGATGGTTTGCGCGAAGAATCATGCTCATTTGACGTTCACGAAGTGAAGTTTGCTTTGGAAGGCATCGCCTTATCAGATAATTTGAATGTTATTATAATACTGCTAGGTATTTTAGTATTTGGAAGTTTCATCACTGTTTTCATATTTTTTTTGATCGGTTGTCATCGAGGTTAAATGCTGACAGGTTTTTGAACAAATTGTAGGCCCTCATAGCCCGGATGCTTAGTTTCTTCCAAAGATAGTGTGTTAGTTTACAATATTATTATTATTTTTTAGTTTTATGTTCGGCACGCGACTGTCCGCTCGTGCCGGAGGTATGAATTGTCTAATAAACATATCCTTATCTCCTGAACTTTGTGTTTTCTTGCTGCTTACATTATATTACATTACATCATTAGCTATTTACGCTAACCGTAACTTATTAAAAACCAGCATAGTCTTCTAAAAAGTAACAAAATTAATGTTTAAATCTACAAATTGAAACCCATCATAAGTAGGTACATATTTTTTCATGTTTCAAAAGAGATTTCATTAAAAATTTTAAACGAAAGAGCTACATTAACGATTTCGATTAGGTAATATTATTTATGAGAATGATACTTTGTCCATTAGACTAAATTATCTCAATGCGTCATGGCTGGCATACATGTTGCTTGGGCGGTATCAGACTCGGTCTCTTTCTTCTTGCTGTACTTCACGGCTCCCTTAGTGCGTTTCCACTTCATACGCCTGTTCTGGAACCACACTTTCACCTGGCACAAGACAAAACAATGATTTTTACCTTATCAATAGAGTGGCTAAAATTAGTAACATTTCCATAAACTACATTTATCACCATAAATCACGGGAATCGAACTAGCGTCTTCTCACTCAAATTCTCAAATCAGTTGTCCATCCGATTTAACATTTTTGAGTTATTACTCCGAATTTTGAAAATGAATAAATATCCTTGGACATTTTACACTGCGACTCTAGTCCCAAACTAAGCAAAGCTTGTACTATGGGTACTAAACAACGGATATAAACATACTAATTACTTTTTTTAAACATTAACACCCCGACCCGTCACAGAATTTCTGCCCGGCCGGGAATCGAACCCGGGACCTATTCGGCATAGTAGTCCGTTCTGATCTACTACACCAAACGACCAACTAAATACTTGGTTGGAGTCATAGTTTCTAGATTTTTCCTAAAAATGTCAAGTCACTTTAAGAAAAAAAAGCATAATGAGAAAAACTGACCTGTCGTTCAGTAAGATTCAGGGCGACGGCGATCTCATACCGCCGCAGCCTGGTCAGGTAGTTGGCTCTCGCAAACTCCTCTTCCAGACTTCGTATTTGAGCTTTGCTGAACGCTGTTCTTTCCTTGCGACTGCTGCCAGGCGAGCGAACTTCTGATAAAAGAAAACTTAGATGTACATAAAATATCTTTTATTTTCCGCATGATTTGGTTTAACCAAAATCTTCATACTTCATCATCATCATTTCAGCCATAGGACGTCCACTGCTGAACATTGGCCTCCCTCAATGCTTTCCATTTTGATCGATTGTTTAGCGGCCTGCGTCCAGCGCTTCCCTGCTACCTTTATGATGTCGTCGGTCCACCTTGTAGGTGGACGTCCCACGCTGCGTTTTCCGGTACGCGGCCTCCATATCAATGTTCATACCTACTTAATATAATTTAATTTTTTAAAGCTTTTTTCAAGTTTTTCACCAACTACACAAGAGTCTACACATGCGTGTCCAATTGATGAAATTTAAATGAATCACTTGTAAATAAATAAGTAAACATTGTTTAATTTAAGTTTAATGCACTACCAGTGATTTGTATTGTCTTTATTCACTGGTAGATACTTGAAGGAATAAAATATAACTACAATTCAGTTTCATACGCACCCGTAGGTACGACGTCGTAAATAACGAAAAAACTTTTTCTTTTGATCTCAGTAAAATTATCATAGTTATAACTTATAACAGTAGGTGTTAAAGACAGCAGAGATCAAATCAATCGATAGCAAATGTTAGCGCCGGCGCCCGCGCATGTTTACGAGGAGTTTTATGACCACCGTTGTTTGTGAGCTTCCTGGCAGACAGGTGTGTTTTATTGCTTTGTCGTAGGATAGGATAGCTAGCTACTAGCTATGTATTTGATGCGAATAATGTTTTGATAAATATCTTTATGAAATTTCTTATCATAAACAATCAATGGCATACTTAAGTATTCGCAACGCAAGAATGTCCCTACATACAGTGCCGTAACTAGCCTTTTATGCGCCCGGTGCGAGCTTTCAAAACTGCGCCCTTGAAAAATGCTTGGTCTGGTCATTTCTGCGCCCCTCCAGGGTCTGCGCCCTGTGCCTGGGCACCGCTGGCACCGCCCTAGTTACGGCACTGCCTACATACAGCTCAGAAAATAAATTTAATGTCATTAAAAAGCAATGGTTAACTAAGAAAAATACGGAAATTATGATTGTATTTTTCAAATATTTTTTAATTTTGATAAAATAACAATAGCAAATATCGACTCAAATACGTAATTTTGTCACCTTATAAACAACTTTGAACTTGTCTCAACTCACTTTCAGTTTGCACCTCATAACACTGTTATGATAACAGAAGCATTGTTACTATCTTACCTTCCTCACTGAAGCTGGAAGACGCACCTCCAGCGTCAAAATCCGTCTCCACCTTTACCAAAACTTGCCGCTCGTTCCACTCAGCCCAATCCCACTGATTCCCATCGCTGGGACCGTCAAACATGTGCCTTTCCAGCTGGCGGTAATCGTAGAACATCGGCAAATAGCTTGGGTGGAAGACATCTTGAACCACTTCTTCATGACACGGGATATCGAAGTAAGTTTCCTGAGTATCAGTCGAATCATTGGGCATGAAGTCTGGTTTTATGAACTCCATTTTTATTGGCAATTTTTAAAATTTCATTTATCCGATTGTATCAAATATTTTTTCCGTTCTTTGCGTCATTTAAAAATAATTTTCAAATTTTAGTTACGGTTGAAAAAACACTCGATGTCGTAATTAGTACCGACTACAAACACAATAAAGTTAAACATTAGTTAGATGTTTTTGACTTTCAAAGTTCTTCACTAACTGCAACGGGACTGTTTCAGGTGACCACTGAATACGCTTTGATCCACTGAAGAATAGAACAATGCGCGCGCGCAAAGTGATTTCATGAGGCGGGCGGGGCCAGTTTTTGGGCGGGGAGGAGCCGCTCACACATTTTACATGGTGAGCTTTTTGTTTTAGTAGATCGTAGCTTTATTGTTTTGTTTAAGTTTTGATAGAGGACGATATGACGTTGAATTATTCGATTGATAATAACATCATAATACTTATTCTTCGTCGAATAAATCCTAAAAAAAATTAAGCCTAACCCTTTAAAAATTACTATCAATTATGAAGGTGTGGCTTCCCAGTCTCATTATTTTCCTATATTTACTAATAAGTATGAGCTTTGGTAGGTTTTGTTAGTCAGGAGTAGACAAAACAGCACTTCTTGTCTGCGGGTAGAGCCCTTGATTCCAGGGTTAACCTATGCCATTTCATGACTCTGAAAATTGAAAATAGCGCAAAAAGGTCATGAGAAAACTGGCACTTATTAAATTCAATAATTTCACTTCCATTATTTCCACTAATACAAACATGAAGTTGTTAAAAAAAGCGATAATTAAGTACGTCTGTGAGTTACTGAAAAAACTTTAACGCATTAAATAGTTAGTTCCATTAATTACTTAGGTCCTAATTGAATGATCTGTATGAGAACGGGTCCATGTTTACAGTCATAAGATTGTTGTTAGCGAAACCCCCAGGGACGGGCCCTCTGCCCCCGGTTCCCACGGCGACATTTTTGTAGACAGTTAATTTCGATATTGTAGTTATAGCGTGTTGAAAGGTTTGTTTAGGTTTGTCATAAATAACAATTTAAAGTATTACAACTAGCTAACTCGGTGAACTTCGTACAAACATTAAAATCTTCCGCGCAATTTTTCCATATCCAGGCGGAGTTCTTGAGTTTCAGCGAGACTAACGCATAACAATTTACTTATTATGTATTTTGAATATTTTTTTATTGATAACACGGTATCTTTAGGCCTAATCGTCCACAGATTTTTCTTTGTTGAGCCTTATAATAATCGTAGTACTTAATTAATTAATGCAACTTCAATCGTTTAAATTTCAAAGTTTCCTACTAACCTCTGCTCTAAATTCACCAGACGGGACGTAGTAGAGATAGTATCTACCTAATTAATTGAGAACACGTAGCGTATCATTAGTAATTAGTTGATAAGAGATCTTAGATGATGCCGCCGCGGATGACACGGCTCGGTGCAACTTCCAATTCCAACTGTAGCCTGGAGCTTCTGTCTGTGCCTCTGTGCTAATATCTTACTGATCATAAAATATGAAACCGATAGTAATTCTCTACTATTTTATACACGCCTAAAAAGCTGAAGCTATGTTTGTAGGTAGTTATATTGCTGAGTTCTGTTTTGGCGGCAAGGACCGCGTAGATGCAGCTTAATCATTTACCTTTTGAGGGGCTTAAAAAATAAGTTGTAATGAAAATGTAAGTTACAACAAATAAAAAACCTACATAACTGAAAATGTGAAATATTTTGACTTTTGACAAACAAGAGCCAAGTTAAAAAAGGCATTGGATATGCACATTATAAAGATGTACCTACTAACTTTAGAAAAAATTAGTGCAGTTTATTTTTAAAAGAGAAGGCGGCAATACTTACGTCTGCAGTCAAAAGGCATAAAAAGCAATTCCCAGCTCGTTGTGTGCGCGCGCGCCCCTTGTTTGGGCAGCTGCCTCACCGCGGTGATCAATATATTGGACACTTTTTTGGTTTATTTGCTTTTTTACAGCTTAATTGCAGCGTTGATGTCTTACTTTGATTGTTTTGATATGCACTGAGCTATATGTGGCTTATACCTACTTAAGTACCTACTTATAATACTTGTGCCTGATTTATTTTGTTAGAGAGTGATACTTTCTATTAAGCAATGTAGATGTAGGTAAATGTGCTACCGAGGTGGATACCTAGGGCAAGTAGTAGGTAGCTCTCTAAAAATTAGAGATCCTACCTACCTACCTAATTAGGTAGGTACTCGTTTCTGTTTCTTTGTAAACTCATTCCTTACTAAGTAGGTAGGTATAATTTATTTAGCTGCATTGGAACTTTTAGGTATTATTACCTACCTACTTATTTAGATATTTGTAATTTAAATGACGTAAGAATTCTTAAAATTTTGTAGGGTTGACACAATTTGTCATGTTAGGAAAAAAAAAATCATTCAAATTAATTTATTTAGGCACTACTTATACTTGTAGCCAATATTGTTCTGCTCATTTTGAGTAAAAACTAGGTGCAGTTAACCACCTATTTAAAACTAATAAATCTTCGAAAAAGTAGGTAATATGTAGTTCTAAAGCCGACTCTACACAAAAAATAACAGAAATATTATTTGGTGAGTCCGTCAACCCTGTCCAAATATGTTTTGTGCCGCTTACGTAGCTGATGAGTTCTGCAGGCACGATTAAAGTCACAAAGCTTTTTATTTATCGTCGGCCACTTCATTATAATCGTGCAGATGATTTTGGACGCTCTATTTGTTAATGGCAACCGCTGATCGTAAATCTTATTGTCTTTTATTAAAATTAAATAGGGTCATATAAGTAAGTAATGGAATTGCGAAGGCAGAGCATAGAGTAGGAAGGTACTAGGTACGATCTGAAAACGAATTGAAATAAGCACTTACCTACTTAGACGCCCACCAAAAATAAGTTCGTTGATTTTCAGCATTTTCGTCGTTAAAAACGGGTACTATTTTTATATAATATCATTGGGTACTAGGCACTGTTGTAAATAAAATACATAATAGTTTTATAACATTTTATTTAAAATCAAATTCCCCAGTAACACAGACTGACAATATCCGTAAAAAACATATTTTAATACAAAATGCAATTTGATTTGATACAGACCACGCTTGCTGGCGTGAAAAATAGCGATCTTCATTTAAACTTATTTTTAAATATTTCTTCATCTTTCAGCGTGATATCCTAACATTGCCTAGCTAATAAGTAATTTATACCTAGTTAGGTACAAGCAGGACATAATTGCACTTTATTGTAGCAAGCGAAGCTCACATTACTAATTAGTGGAATTTATTTTAATTACTCTGTACAGTTAAAAATCATTATGGGAGGCTCGTACACGATTAAAAGATACACAGAATACATAATCTTACATAATAACTAGAACGTAGAATACTGTGCCCGTAAACAAAATAACATTCGAATTCGATTCGTCATTGTGATCGCTTTATATCTATTTTGATTGTTACATTGTGTCTCTACACAATCTAGATTGGGGCCTCTGCCCCAATCTAAATAAAATAACAATAACAAAAGTAAACAATATTAATAATGATATAATTTTGCATTATTTTAATAGCTAAGACGTTTGTTTTCACCAGGGTGATAAAATAATTAATTTAAAATTAATCCTTTACTACAAAGTTTCAATATCAATTTTCATTCCATTTTTATTTGTAAAAAGTTTTAGTATTCTACTTATTCAAATCCTACAAACTACAGCTAGGTAGGCTATAATATTTTGGAACATAAATAAGTGATTTTTATATCATTTGAACATTAATAACATCCTAGCCTGTTTATTCTCTCGTAAGTTTCTTCAAGTCAAGCCGTTTAAAATATTTTTATTCTACGTACAGCAGATTTTGTTCATAAGAATTATTTTTAGATTATTTTCATAATTATCTTGTATTAAGATTACGAAATTAAGACCTACCGAAACAATCAACGGCTGAATGCATCTAATATTTATGAAGTCTTTTATTATTGAAGCTTAAAATTATCAGAAAAATCCTTCGCATCATTCAGTGGCTTTACAGACATAAAATAGTTTATTAGATGAATCTGTATAACAGGTGTACGAAATAGTTTCACAACAGTGTTCAGTGTCGGTAGAAAAAGTGACTGCGCACTAAACATACCTTATTTAGGTACCTATCTGTCATCTGTCATAAGATCGTTTCGCTCGCAAGTCCCATAGTTTCTTGGTTTTTGTATAATGCGGTGTTACACTGTTTCAACCTAACAACCTCGATTAGTACCGAAGTGTGTGCAGACTATGTGACTTGCGAGCATGTGGTGCGCCGCCACACATTTGACACGAGTGGTGGTTATATAAAGCCATTGCAGACTGGAAGCTGCTCTAGGTGAGATTTTTCTGAATAACAATTTCACACCCAAAAAACTACAAGTGAACTGTGTGACGGCGCTGTCATTCCAAGAGTTATCATTCAATAGAGGTGAATTTTTGAAATGAGGCAGACTAATAAGTAGTTTGTTAGGCACATAGGCAACTTAAATTAAAACAAGTGAAAATTTCAGAAAGTTTATTTGTGATTAGCTATCCCGCCTCTCGTTCGTACAGACACAATCAGCGTCAAATAGTTCGTGACACCCAAAGTATCCAATAAGTTCGCAAGTTGACAACTTTTTAGCCACATTGGGTGTCACCGCGAACTATTGGTCGCTGACTGTACCATTGCAACTCCTGTATAGCCATAATTTATACTTTAGCCTCCAATGAAACCCTAGTATTGTTATAAACGAGAAAAGTCTGTTTTATTTTAATTTATTTTTCAAATAGGCGATAATCATAAGCGCCTCGTCTCAAAAACCCACCGTACATTTCAAACAAGTTAGCCTAGGCGCAGGCCATCGATTTTTCGTCGGCCGATAATTTAGTCGGGCAGTTGATCAGTATGTGCATGTATGGAAGTGCGCACATTACACAGATTTGATTTGGCCGATTCTACAAATTAAAATCGAGCCCAACTATCGGCCAACTAAAATCGGTGGTCTGCGATTAGTCTTAATGTCTAATCTAGGCCGTGTTCTTCGCTAGGACTGCAGCGCTAGCAAGCGCACGACAGCGATCGAAGCGAAGGCGAGGGCGCGGTGCGCGGACGCCGATCGCTACCGCGGCGCGGGCGCGGGCGCAGCCCTACTGAGCGCGGACAGGGAGCTTGCGCGCTTCATGCTAGAGGTACCGAGGTGGGAATGTTAGTTTGATGTGATTTGGTGTGGAGTGAAAACCTCGAATACGTATTTTTTGTTGTTATGTGAAGGCCCCGTATAATATTCACTAACTAGAATGTTTCTTATGTTAAGCTAAACAAAAGATTATACAAATTTGGATTTACGAGGTTTTCATTCGTCACTGAGTCGCTATGAACTGTGTAGTATTAAACTATTTCAGGAGTGTGTTTTAAATTAAGTACACAAGTAGGTACCTACTTACTAGTGTGCAATAAATAGGCATTTTGTAAATTAATTAACACGGAATTAATTACTTAATTAAAAGGTACTTACAAAAGGCTGTATATTTTACTTCTTAAGTATTCAAGAAATTAAAAGTTAAAACCTAATTTTAATGATAATTTACTAAATTACGTCACGCACAAGCGCTCTACGTCGCTATATTTTGGCAATCACATACACACACTACTTACATAAGCTCCTGCCTGGCGCACTAAATACTATTATTAGCTATTTTGAATAGAGTAGTAAAAGTAATCAAGAGTTATTTAACTACGACAAATCCGCTGTAGCTAATCAACAGACAAAAACAATAAAGCACTACTTTTATGGCATAACCGGCTTCAAAAAGAGGAATACTTTTAGGTTTTTTTTAAATTAGGTTTAATAAAGATAAACAGAGTGTAAGACAAGATTGACAACAACTTTAATTTTACTGTCTATGGTGGTGGTGATAGGTGTTGTAAGTTAAGCACGAGAATTTTCCTCAATATCTTATTTGGGTGAAGCCGATTATAAGCTACCACAGTCTCCGCAAAACAAAACCGCACCGCGTGTGGTCAGGCCATCAAGTTGTATGTCTACTTGCAACATTACTTTTGAAATTAACAACAAAGTTTGCGTAATTTACTAATTTTAGATAACTGTGATTGAACTGTAGTTATTAAAGTGAAAGAAGTTCTTGAAACTGCACAAACTTCAAAAAGGACATCATCCACGTTTCATATATTTTTGGTCCAAAATCAAAAGTGCCGGCCAACAAAAAAAAGTGCTGTATTCTGACAGAATACGTCTGCCTTAGCATTTGTTACTATGGCACCAAAGCCGAAGCTCCACTGTGCGTCGAGTATTTGAGATCTAAAAGTCATCGACTATTCATACATTTTTTGTTCAAAATCAAAAGTGTCGGCCAATAAAAAAAAAAGTGCTGTATTCTGACAGAATACGTCCGCCTTAGCATTTGTTACTATGACACCAAAGCTGTAGCACCACTGTGCGTCGTAGTATTTGAGATCAAAGTCAGTCGTTTCATATATTTTTAGAACTCAAATACTACGATGCAGTGGTGCTACAGCTTTGGTGCCATAGTAATAAATGCTAAGGCGGACATATTCTATCAGACTACAGTACTTTTATTTTTTGGCCGGCACTTTTGATTTTGGACCAAAATAGATGATGTCCTTTATCTTTTTTCCAATCCTTACAGAATGGTCTTATTGTTTGGGACCCCTCTGAATACCGACCACAAAGGCACCTGATTACATTGTGCCCTAAACCTAAAAGCCGAATCTATTCCTTTGCTTCAACTCATGATGCGAATGTTGCCAGTGGACACACGACCAGGCTTTACCTTTCGGGGTCGGTGAAGTCTACGTCAGCGGGCAGGTTGGCCGAGTGGCGGCCCGTGAGCCGGCTCAAGAGTCGAGCAGACGAGCGCCGCAGCGACTCTCGAAGCTTCGAGAAGCTCGCGCTGCGTGGCACCTCGGCCGGGCCCTGCCGCGCCCGTGTTATGCAATTTACACTCCATGTTTTAAAAACAATAAAGCTGTATACATTGACGCCTTGGCCAGGGGCGTAGCTACTGCCGTATCTGCCGTATCAATTATACGGGGCCCCCGGCCTACGGGGGGGCCCCCAAGGTGCGTAAGAAAAAATTAATAAAAACTTCCCAAATTTTTTAAATTTCAGAAATGAGAAAAGTAAAAAAGAAAGGAATTACTTTTTTCCCGTATATTTCTTTTAATTTTATGCAATCATTTTTTTCTTTTTTGAGAAATCTTAACCCTTTCTAAGGGCCCCCAAACAAATTTTTATACGGGGCCCCGCCAAGGTACGCTACGCTTCTGGCCTTGGCGGTTTTCTTTTTTAATGGCAGCAACTTAAAATATCAAATAAATACTCTACATCGCGCTAGTGAATGATTCAGTACAATGAGATCGAGATACTAACAACGAAAGCCGTCGTAATCTGTATGTGTTGCAGTTTCATGTTGAGTTCATGCGTTCGTGAGTGTTCGGTCAGACAAGACAGTGTTGATAACTAATTTGTGTATGGGCCATAAATTGCATAACACTGTAGACTCACCTTTCATATTCAGTATATAAAACAAAATAAAAAGAAACCAAAATAAAACAAAGAAATGTTACATAAATATTTATTAACAATTAAAAATTCGACACATTATTATCGAGACGATAAAAATTAACCGTATTTCAGCATTGTGACAGGGAAATGTGCCTTTAAATGGAGATTCTTTATATATGTTCCATTGTTGAAGCTACAAGATTAATCGCTGATGTTGTCTCATGTTTAAATTATATTCTAGTGCAAATAGAGTAAAATTTCACCATTCAAGCAGCACCCACATACAAATATAAAAATTTAATTGTATATAAAAATACTATATTATTTTATCACCTATACTCTCACATAAAGCTTAAACCGATAAACGTACACTAAAAACTGGAATGAAAGTTTATGTAAGCATAAAATTATTTGACAATATGAATAAAATATTTAAATTGACTACTGGCAACACATAAAATACATAATGAACGTTCACAATGATAAAATCACATTCATGCATTCTTTTATACAAAGAACAACATATTATGAAAAATATCAGCAAATTAAAATTGAATAAGTAAGCGAATAAAAATCGTTGTTTAAAACATGCGCGAATTAAAATAATCATTTATATGCCATTACAATATTCTCGGACACTCCACAATTAATAAATGCAAATTTAATAGATCTCAAACAGTTACAATTTAAATACCTAAATGTTTACAATACTTTACTTATTTATAAGAAATACAGCGATAAAATACTAATTTGAAATAATATTGCAATCACATTTAGTTATTTAAAATGCAACTATACACTGCGACATAAGAGGTCATAATAATTAAAATAATGAAAATGGATTTTTTATAAATTACACCGTCGCACAAGTGGTATTTTAGACTCTAATAACACTTTAAATTTTTATACGGACGGCTCACATGCTCAATAGTGTATCTCTATCACACAATATTATTTGTATTTTTTTATTTTTTTCGCATAATAATATTATGGTTACCTACCGCATGCTAATGCTAATAAATAATACTAAGCTAATAATATCCCGTCGCTTTGAACCCTGCAGTGTGAGGAAATGCGAATCGTGCCGACCTACGTTAAAAAAATGATCACAGAGACCACACTGCAGCGTTCAAAACCACCGGCCGTAACATAAGTGATCCTTTGGAAATAGTGAGCGATATATGTCCTAGCACAATCGAACGACACCCTCATTTTTGTGAGAGAAATTTAAGTAGTATAAAATGACCGTTTGTCGGGCAAAAGCATTCTTCAAGCGTGCAAACAACATAATCAAAACTATAACATCGCGTGCACGATATACTCCTCCTGTACTAATTTTCAGTACACTGACACCCGAAAAACGACAGCAAGGGTCGTATTCTCATGTACCTGACATGATTCGATGTCGATTGCGCGCAGACTGAAAGGACCACGTACGTTGTAAGCGAGTGAGTACTTAATTAAGCCTAGACAGCTACATCTTATACTACTGGTGGGGCGCGCTACTCCCAGTGTTGATTCCTAGCGCATTGAACAACTTTGATTTTAGGTTCATGCGTGGCTCACTCGCTTGATTCGTGCCCTATGTTGGGGAAAGAAAAACAAAAAACAAAATTAAAAATGTGCAAAATAAAAATGTAATGCGGTGTTGATTGTGTCGTATAAAACAGAAATAAAAATAAATTATGTACACAGAAATAAATAAAAGTAAAGAGAAGATTGATAAATAATAATAAGTTGGGAAACATAAATAATTTGGTCAGCTACGCTGCCGTACAATGTTTTTTTTTTATAAATATCATATATCACAATAAGGTGACTGTATTTAATCAAAATAGTAATTTTGAATAGTTGTTAAAATAAATTAATTCAGTTTAGTCAACCTGAAACGTTCAAATGAAACAAACACAATAAAAGCAAACCTAACAAAAATCCTTTGCATCCATTGCCTTTTTAGGTTTTAGTAATTTAATTGTGAGTTTTGTTGCACAGGACGTTCACAAAACACAGACCTTAGACGTTTAGATGTGACAAAGTAAGCTAAGCGAGGTGCTGTTATGGTGAAGATGAAGGTGATGATTTGTGACGAGTGCTTCGAGAACGAAAACTAGCGAAGAAGCCAACGTCGGTGATGTAAGAACCTCTACCGTGAGTTTGCTACAGAGATCTCAAAATTTTTTCGACTAATTTTATTTAATTGTGAAAAATCAACGTTAAAATAATGGTATCGTTGTGGCCAATGAGCTGTTGTCTTAGTGACATGATGTCAATGTCACACTAGGATCAAACGGGAGAATAGAGGGACGCGCGAGGACGACTCCCCGCGCTTTTGTGCTAAGTGATGAACTGTATCTAAAATAAGGCAATATAATGTGAAAGATGAGTATCCAGTGTTTTATTTATGAAAATAGATCTACCGGCCTCTAATAGTACGCACATTAGCACGTCTCGCATGACCGAGGACGCTCTCATAAATTCATTTATGCGCGATCAAATTCATATTGCTGCTGCTAAGCATTGGATTGTAAGAATCCACTTTTTTAAAGACTATAAAACGAGTGACAACGAGCCCACAGTTAGTGACACTAATCTGAAAGACCTTTACAAGTTAATATAACGTGAAATAATCTTATGTAACTTCCCCGTCAAACTTTCAATTAATAAAAACACTGAAGCAAACTCATAGCATAAGTTCAAATGAGCCAAGGACCTATGGTGCACTAGTGACTGGTTGCAACGACGTGCGATCTCGTTCATACAGACAAGGACAACAATACAGTTCTAAGCCCCACATCAGTCGAATGCACTTAACAATAAGACCAAACGAGTGCGTTTGCGACAGAACACATCCAAAGTTGCGAACAAAATGCGAACTGATCCAAGTAAAGTAATGTCCATGTTTTGTTATTTCAATGAAACAATAAAAGTGATTAACCAGGACAACTTTTCCGGGATCAGTAGGTGAGACAGTCAAGTTTCAGACCCACAAAGTTACCATAAAATTGTATTATAGTTTTACAAAATCTTTAATAGATCCGATGGCAAGATTCATGCATTGTTCTATTGAAGATTTAATTAACCCATAATGAGACCCAGTAAAATCTAGTCCTACATCCCAAGTTCCTTTTCTGTACAGTACAAGGCCCTCTCCCAGCTTAGACCTCGAGGTCTTTGCAGTCATCAACACAGACAACTCAAGTGTGAATAAAGATTATCGACATTCGTTATAAATTCAAGGCAAGTAGCACCAAAGCAAATTCATTGATTATAAATAGCATGAAATCAATAATTATTTATTTTCTGTCGTTAAGGCGATTAGAGTCCTCAATCCGCGCCAAATGGGCATTTTGTAAAGCCTACTCCTCTTTTACTGCTGGATAGAAATAGTTGAAAAAAATATATGTTATACAACAGTTCAAGGACTACATTTGTGACGTTTGAATTTTCGCTACGTCTCTTTGTTTTGGATTAAAAAAATAAATACGGGACATCGATTTTTTACTTAAATTCCCTACTCCTCCAAAACGGCTATGTTAATTTAAAAGATTTTTGCACGAATAGATTAGGAATTCTTTAATCTTTAAATGACACGTTGCGTTTTTCAATCGAACATTACTTTCATTCATAAATTTTACTTTTGATAAATTCCGAACGTTTTGCTGTTGAGGGGGCCTTCGCGGGGTGCGGGCGGCAGTCGGCCGCTGGCCTTCAGACGGGCCCAAATCAGAAAATCCTAGAAATAAGTATCATTGGCACAGGAATACTTACAATACCAAACAATTGTATAGCCTACTGTAAAAGTACGAAATTAATACCTAAATTTAATAATGTAAAAATCAACACTACTGTAATTCAACCAGATTTTAATATTATAAATCAATCTTGTTGTACCCTAGATAAGTTTATAAATGTAATCAGTAATGATGAAGTCCCCTTGAAATTACAAAATATTGATTTAGATGTTTTTACTTTGGAAACGAAATCAAAATTAAGATCGATATCTGACCAAACTGATAAAATTTTAAATCAACATCCCCTTATTAAATACGAAACTCATTACTCGATTACACTCATAATCGTTATATGTATAATTTTAATATTTTGCATTTTAAAAATGTTTTTATGCATTAAATCGCGCAGCCGTCTAACTTACCTTTTCCCGAGATCCTCTCGCGCCAATCCTGAAAACTTACCTGTAGAACCAGCTCCAGCTCCTCCAACTCCCGAACCAGCCATTCCCTTGAAGATCATTAAACGTCATCCTGATGCAGAAGAAATCCCATCTCCTAGTATACGCAGAAATGTGTAAAACCTAAATTCTTACCTTTTCCGTTTTTTCCTAAACATCGCTCATTTCACCCCGATGTTTAGTCTACCCCCGGGAGGTGTTACAGATAGCCCTCGCACCCTATATTGCTTACTTGACATTCCGCCTTTTGCCGACTCATCCTTTTCCATCCATAGCCTGCGATACCTCGCATTTCCAAGTCAGTCTCATTCCACCATCCGAACTAGACGGCTGTCTTATCCTTTTAATCTCGTGTTCTTTTTTAAAAACCCAAATCCCCAGAGGCTCATAACAGTGAGAACACGCACACAGTCACAATTATTTTAGTGTGAATAAAAATAGCATCGAAATTACCTAAACTTGACATGCCACGCTAGACGTAAACGCTCATAAGACAAAGTGCTGACGAACAAAAACATGTGATAGGTCGATAGAAAATAGAATGTCATTATTTTGGTCCCACTAAACCTCTATATTGGGGGAGGCCTATGTTCAGAAGTGGACGTCCTGTGGCTGGAATGATGATGATGATGAAATCTCTGTAACCGTTGGTTATAGTCGTCATTTGAATTGTAAAATATTGGAAGTACATAAGTACGAGTACATTGCTCCAAATATTTCATACTAGTAGTTAATTTTTACCACCAACTCCAATCACACAGTCAACCAGCAGGCACAATCAGAAAAATACCCATAAAACAATAAACATTATCTGTCATACCAATTAGTAACATTGTAAGTTTGATATTACATTTCTCCGAATGTATTCGGAACCAAAGCTGTACAACGTATCCTTTTAAAGCCTCTATAGAGCTAATTAGCGCCACTTCCCGATCGTGATCCGTTCAGTTATTGTGTTACGAGGAATCATTCCCGCCGGTTCTGGATATCGGCACCTGAATAATCTGGTTGCATTTTAATGGGATCGTCGAAAAAACTTCGTTACAAAGCGGTATTCATAGAGGTAGATTTTTAGTTGCTTGCCTTTTCCTGTGGGTTACGATTCTGTGCTAGTTGTTTCAACAATTTTCAGCAAATTATGACGACTGTTATAAATGTCCATGACTTCATATTAACCTATTTGTGCTCATCACACTTTAATTTGCCTTCAGCGAGAATTGAACCCGCAACGGTTGCTGGTATTACACCTTAAGCATTTTCAATTCAAATAAATACCTATAACAACATATAAATTGCTTTTCTTATGGCTACAGACAGAGCGTACCTACTTAAACGAGTTAAAGCTGTGTAGGTAACCCAATTTTCTTTTCCAGCTTTGTAAATACCAGTGTCGCTTGTTTGAATAAATCTAAGCTAATGCTTGAATCGTAAGTAAAGGGTAAGCTTCGTCCAAAGGCAATTTGTTTACCGGCTTTTCTAATAAAATCGCATTTAGCTTGATGAAATTAAACAACAAAACGAGTACAGGCCCGTATTACGCTTTCATTTATTTAAATGGATATGTCACCGGAAAATAACAAGACTCGTAAGTTGATCAATTTTCTAGGAAGTTGATCAACTCTCGGAAAATAAGAAACGGCAGTTGAAATGTACTATTTAACGCATCGAATTTTAGCTAATTGGTCAACTTACGGTACCTAGCCGTAATTTAATAATTAACTATATTGCTACAAGTAAAATCATCCACAAATGGGCCAATCGTTGCCCAGTGTACTATTTGACGGTACACTATTATCCGTCACTTAATACACTTTTCTCTGATTGGTCGACAGACACTTAGATTATGTTGTTTTAATATTTACATTTTAGAGATAGGGATATTAAAGTTCGTCTATGCTATATAGTTAAATAAATGAAAAATGTTTAAAAAAATATATTGGAGCTCAAAGTTTTATTATTGTAAGTTATATTAATAATAAGTAAGTTTGTTTATTTCTACCACTACAGACTCCATTTCACTCATCATAAATAAAATGACGCGTTATAATGAGAATTATTACCACACAAAACAACAATTGCTAATTTTACTACTGTAAATAAAGAAAATAGATAGATTTGTTTACGTTTAAACCGGTAATGGCGGCGGCCGGGTGGCGGGGAGCGGTATAAAAGCACGTTCAAATTTCGAGAACGACTGAACCGACAAAAGCATTAGAAAATTTACGAAAAATAAAATAAAATTTTATCCCGTACAAAATGTTCATGGATTTTGTTATTTTTATTAAATACCTTTACGCCTGAGTTAAATTGACACCGACATCAAGGTTCATCAATTTAAGTTTAAAATAATAGGCAGTAATGTATGAAAAAAGAACTTCTATTCTGTATCTACCTATGCCCGTGTATTTTTGATCGGTGTCAAATCGGAGTTTTTGGTGCGGGGTACGCGGGTGTTGCTCGCGGCGTGAAGGTCAAACGCCCAAGGTCATTGAGGACTCTAATCGCCTTAAGGCTTTGAACGAAATTTTGTAATCGGTCAGGTTTTTTTTTCATTCTTGACACAAGTCTTTTCATTTGCGAACCATTTCGTATCAATATTGTAAGGTAAATTAAATAACTAAGTACTGAGATTGTCTGTGTACATGATCAGATCAGAACCCCCTTACCAATAAAAGTTGCACACGAGTTGCATACTAAAAAAATTCAATAATTTAAGCCTGGTTCAGACATGCGCGATAGTCGCGCGGTTTTTGGATCGTTTTATTCACGAGGCATCGTTGAGGTGGTAATCGCGGAGTTATAATTTGATGCAAATGTACGAGGTCTGCCCAGCAATCGCGTGATTATCGCTGTGTCTGAAACGGGCCTTAGTGTTCAACACGCGTGACTTTTCACTAGTAATGGGGGTTTAACACTAACCACTATACACATTGGACTGGCTGCTATCATATTATTTTTGTGCCTATTTGATTTTAGCCATTTGGCGCTGTAGGCCTTACTGGGCAGATACGAGTGTCCATGGAACTAAAATTAGTGATTTTCTTTCTCGCTTACTCCTATGGTTAATCCATATAATGTACGTCAAAATTAGTTCTCGGGACGCTCGTATTGGCGTTCCTACTGGCAGACAAAATTAGCTCATTTGTATGAGACAACCTGTCCAGTGTGTATATAGGGTGTTAGGTAAAAGGGTATATGAGCCGACACTAGCCCATGTTAACATGGTCATATAAATGGTATGGCGAAGTCAGAAAATTGATATCTTTATTTTAATTATTTTAATTTTCATACAAATCGGATATTATAAAATTTATTTTGTATGAAAATTAAAAAAAATAAAATGATGTTATCAAATTTCTGACTTCACCATACCATTTATAGGCCAGTAGAATTAAACACAAAAATTGATTAAATCGGAAATAATTCCTACAAAAGATTTTTTTGCTTTAATGGCTTCATTGGTTGCCCATTAAGACTCTCCTAAGTTTTCGACTTCGACGGAGTTGTGCTTAAGTGGTGGGGGCCCCCGAAAGGGGCGTTTTTTCGGTTTTCCGGTTATACCGCGTAAAGGACTTACCCTATCGAAAAGTGCATTGCTTAGCCATATGCCTGGTCCAAGGTTCGACGCCACAAAATCAACTTCGTACGAGTGAAAATAGTTTAAATACTATTTCCCGTGCTTGCAACATTTTTCTTTACTGCTTCGCCTCTATTAGTCGTAGAGTGATTGTATATATCCTATAGCCTTCCTCAATGTATGAGCTATTCAACACAAAAATAATGATTTCAATCAAACTAGTAATTCTTAAGATTAGCGCGTTCAAACAAACAAACAAAAAACTCTTCAGCGTTTTAATATGAACTTGTTGTTGTTGATTTTTGGCGTCGAACCTTAGACCAGGCATACGGCTAGGCAACGTAGTCATGCAGGAGGATACAAGGAAGAGGGGCAGCCACAGTAGGTAACACAGAGTCGTTCAGGTGAGTGCCAGGAAGAGGTGCAGCAACCGCAGTTAAGGAACGGCTGGGACGAACAAGGATAGGCGCATCAAGCTCGTAAGCCTTGATAGGGTTACACTGGTTGAGGTGGCCCTTTTCAAGACTTGGAAGCCTGTGGGTAACAAACCATTGGACATGGAGAGGGTCATTAATTTTACGTATATTTTCTACTTTGCCGAACTTTAGCGCGAGAACGGTTTGTCCAAAACATATGAATTTGATCTTATTCAATGCAGGATTAAGTGCCCTTCAACCGTCATGAAGACCACTTTTTGATAGGGTAAGTCCTTTACGCGGTATAACCGGAAAACCGAAAAAATGCCCCTTTCGGGGGCCCCCACCACTTAAGCACAACTCCGTCGAAGTCGAAAACTTAGGAGAGTCTTAATGGGCAACCAATGTAGCCATTAAAACAATAAAATCTTTTGTAGGAATTATTTCCGATTTAAAAGCTAATTCTACTGGACTATTATATGACCACGTTAACATGGGCTAGTGTCGGCTCATATACCCATTTACCTAACACCCTGTAGAGGTCAGTGGGGTTTAATATTGCCCCATAGCCCCCTTGACCGTCCCACAGCCCTATTCGCCGGTGGGCCTGACCTCGTCGTGGTGGTCGGCGAGCGGCGGCGCGTCCAGGGCTTCGCGCGAGCCGCGCCGCGCCCGCGCGCGCGACTGCTTCACGATGTCCAGAGCCTACCACACAACACACGTCAGCACGCCTGTGATACGAGTACGACCTAACGCGACCGAGGGTTTAGGCGCATAATGTCAAAAGCGCAAAATGTCAAATCTATAAAAATCCTATTACAATACCCGGCGATAAATATTGCACATCGACCTTTAGAAAGAGACAATCGGCTAATTTCGGTTTCGTAGAGCGTTATCACTGTCGCACTTGAACAATGACTGACAATGACGTTTTGTCAAAGTGTAAACAAACTTTATTTTAAATGTGTGCAATTAATTTTGTGAATTAAATTGCTAAAAACTTTTTATAGTCGTGAAAGAAAAGTGGTTCACAATGTATTAAAGTATTTGTCGAAGAGAAATACTAAGAGTTCGGACAATATTTTCATTGAATAATGTTTTGTCAATCATATAGGTAGTGTGCGACAGAGATAACGCTCTACGAGCCGAAATTAACCGATTCTCTTTCCAAAGGTCGATTTGCAATATTTATTGCCGGGTACTGTATTTATCCTGTTTTAATTTAGGTGGTGAGTTCCGAAAACCTAATATAGCACTGTCTGTATACTATCGTTGCTTTTTCTATGTGCTGCTATTGATATAAAAACTATCAACAGTGTTGATTCCGGCTCATGTAGTAATTTTATAATAGGAGCCTATGGATTCATAAAAATAAATTCCACATTGCGCGTAACACACTATCGATAGTATTGTGGAACACGCATCGAAATAGAATATGCAATACATGTGGTTAGTGGTTTTCGCTAAAGTATCGATAGATAGTGGCATATCCATCTGTATACAACACTAATCACCAACTCTAAACTAAAGCTTCCTAAATTGCTATTGGTGTAATCAGTGACAAAAATCGTCATTGTCTCCAATTTTATCTTTCGTGGCGCCTTAATAGCATTCTAGTATCAATATCGATACAGTGATGACTTTGACTATGTTTTAGAACATCCCGGTATGGACTATGGAAGTCTACTCAAACATTATTTCACTACACTAAATTTTTGATTAATTTGTGCCAATAAAAATTATGTTGACGCATTAGGATAATGTTATTACAACTTTTTTAGTATTGCCAATTGCAGCCACCTGTAATAAATGTCATATAATTTAAATTTAGATATAAGGTGTGGTGTGGATAGCAAGATACGGAGTCGTTCTGACTTACTTGTTGGACGTGCTGGGCAGCGTGCAAACCAACATTGTACCAGTTAATACTGTGCCCACACTAGCGATCTTACATAAATAAAATAATGTTCATACCAAATATCCGTAATGAAGTAAACACAATAGATAAATAGATAAATCATTATTATGCATAATTAGATGATTGTATAACGATACGTGTCGTGTTTTGTGCTATTTGAGAATTAGATAAAGCAAATTAAACTAGTATATAATATTATTAAAAATTCTAAATCGATTATTAAATATTAGATAAATAAAGATAGTTCATGGAATAATTTTATAAAAATGTGCTAATACCAGATTCGACAGATGTGCAATATGATTTAGTTTATTTTCAAGCTAGCAGCAGTAGAGCATAGATACAAACAAAATTATTCAACCACTGGTTACATTATTAAAAATTTTATATCCTCGAGCGTTGTTTCAGAAGACGTAATATTAAACGATTTGGCAAACGAGAATCGTAATTATAATAATTACGATCCCATGCCTTTAATCTTGTAAGCCCATAATTTAAACTTGTGTAAGATAGAGTCAACAAAAATACAATTTTCTCACTTTTATAAGTCTCAAAACAATACAGCTCATCGCACATCTGTCGAACCCAAAGTGAATATTAAAGATGAACTAAACCAGTGCTGTGGTTACCTCTTTCCTGCTGCGGAGCGCGCAGTCTTCGAGCGTCTCGGCGGCCTCGTACTTGCCCTGGCGGCGGTATAACGCGCCGAGGTTCTTCAGGGTCGTCGTCACCGTCGGCGAGTCCACCTGAAACGCATGTAGCGGTAACAAATTATTTTAACGCATTCAACTAACGTTGAGTCTTCTTACGTTGTGAATAAACCTACCAGGAAATGGAAATTTCCTGTACCAAAAGTTTACACTTATTTGAGAAATATGTAATTCTTTTATAGGTTGTTCTGCTGGTTTAGTGTACAAGTCTTTAATCAGTACAGATTTAAGATAGTTGCTATTAGGTTTCATACACTTACATACTCGTCACGTATCGTATGGCATATCGTCATGGCTTTGCAATCCGAGCCATTTTAAGTGATTACCCAACCAATGCACAAGTACGCGATGAGACGTTTTTCAACTATCATTACAAAATCGAGTCATAATATGACACCTTATATTGCCATAATAACTAAAGTCGGATTCTTTAGAAATTTCCCTATATGTAAACAAATATGGCCAACTGACATTAAAACATTAATAATCTGTGCCCTAGTGAGGCGACAAAACCTCTCGTTAATCGCGGATTGAAATTATTGTAGTACTTACGTACCTATAGAAAGAATTTATAATGCTTTATAAAGCAGTGCATTAAACAATTAGTAGTACATTCAATGAAGAAAAAATACATTGTTGATTAAAAGACCCTATTTAAATCTATTTAAATGCAATCAGTAATAAAAATGATTGAATAATTGAAATAAAATCGATTAAATTTACCGATTATTGTCTATGACTTACAGGTTACAACACTGATGTGTCAGAGACAACATGGAGATAACACATAATTTTAAACTTCAAGTCAATTTGACAAGTCTCACAAATTTTCAACGTCCACATATTTTGCTAAAATAATTTGTTTAAAGATTGATTCCAAACTTGTATAATCGTGAGAATAAAGTTGGTTTCATGGGCTTGTGAAATAATGTGTATGATATTATGAACACGTAAGTGATTATGGTGTTATTGTGTGCACAAGTGTTTGTTTACATTTGAGGAAATTTCTAAAGAATTTAGGTATAGATCGTTTCATCCGCGACGCGCCCCACCTATTTTTGGTCGAGGAAAGCGCGGGGCACGGGGAGTTTGATCCGAGCAATCCGAGCGTCATTAATGTAGTGTGCGTATGCCTATTTTCACCATCAATCCCTAATTTTTAAGTGACCCCTATGAAAACAAAATTCCTATATTGTGTTACCATAGGGGTCACTTAAAAATTAGGAATTGATGGTGAAAACGGGCATAAGACCTTTAAAGGAGGGCACGGGACATCTGTGTAGTTAATTATTAAAAAACCTGCGACCGCTGAGAGAATGCATTCCAGACTGCTCGATACGACCAATAAATAATCTTGACTGGAGTAGGGGGCGCGGAATGTTTAGCATGGTCGAAAGGGGGCGCATCTCAAATAAGTTAGGGAACCCCTAATCTATAGTAAGAAGGCGATGTATAAATACCTTGGCAGCCTTGTGCCAGCCGCCGTACTCGCCGTAGGGCGCGTTCTCCTTCTGCAAGTGCTTGTTCTCCTCGCGCTCCTCCGCCACCTGCCAGATCGGCTTGTTGTCCCCTGTACACACGGCCTTATTATTACCAACCCCACACAACGGCAAACAGTAGAAGATAGTGTACAAACATATTTATATGAAGCGACTAATCAACACTACCGCACGGGCTCGTATTCTGAAACTACTCTCAATACTAAAATAGAAAGACACCTGAAAATTTTTCAAGCCCGCCCGAACGGACGACGCCGCGAGCCGCCAGTCTGCTTGTGACCACGGCTGCAGCATAGCAGCCGAAACGTCAACCCGTGTCTTTCTATTTTAGTTGAAATGGAACGCGAAAGTTTAAAATCTTATACTCTCAATGCTCCCATTGACTTCCTTTAGTACCCATTCCACTCAAAGATATATTAAACGTTTTATACAAAGCGTCTAAAGAACACTACCGCACAGGCTCATATTCTGAAAGTACTCGCAATACTCGATTTCATATACACAGTCTCGAGTTTCGAGCGCTTCAGAATAGGAACCTTTGTTTTGCATCTGAAGATCGAATTATCAAAAACATTTTACGAACAGCGAAATAACATTCATTCGACAGATGTAAAAAATATCCGAACGCGCGTTCGCTATAACCGAACGAAAAACTATAAACAATGTTATGGTTAGACTTCTTATATTTAACTACGATAAAGCAATTGAGAACCGACACCACATTAAGAAAGACCAAGAAAACTAAATGTGACACAAGTCGGGAAGGTGTGACACACTGGCAGTCGCACAACGACGCAAAACAAATGAAGTTACAACAAAAATATAACCAAATAAAAGCCTAGTAATATTACCTTTCCTACCTGTGCCACACTATACCAAACTTGTGTCACTTACCTATTACAATCACCATTCGCACCGACTGTTCAATTATTTAAAGGTTTCAAAAAAACAAAATCATGTTACTTGCGATTTTAATTACAAAAGAAAACATAAATAATCTTCATAAATACTATATTCAGCGGCTGTTTAAAATATTTTGGCATATTTAGATACGACGTTTAACGTCTACAATCATAAGAACAATGTATTAAATCTACACAAATAAAAAAAATAGAAAATCTGATATGAAAATAAAAGCGTCATCAAAAATATAAATAAAAATTCATAAATTGCATTAAAATTTGCCAATTTTATATTTTTGCAACACTCCTAATCCCTTTTAAATACAAAAGGCAACTGAGTGTGCACACTATTGATTACATTTGGACCGGGCTACGCTTTGTCTATGAAATTCAATTCATGGACAAGCTCCATGACGGTTGTACGAAAGCAAACATCACTCACGAGGCCTCTCGTATTCAATCACAATCATGCTAAAGGAAGTAAGTAGGTCTACACGCGAAAAACTAAAAAAGTAATTGCTTTCAAAATTCATAATTTAGTACCATGGAAAAACACTACTATCTCAATAACATAAATAAATCAATAAATTGATGAGAAATTTTTAAATTTATAATTTAATTATAAATTGATTTTATTAAACGTCAATATTTCAGTCATTCGACAGCACCATTAATGGAAAATGATTAATTTAATAATGGCTAGCTAAATTGACAATATTATAATTTAATACCCAATTCATGAGTTTTAGTTGAGATTTATTAAATCCCATAAATTAGAGTTTCGCATGTTGACGACATAAATAAAGTTATTAGGATTCCAACATACGCTTTGCAGGAAATAAGGACGAAGAAATAAGTACTTATTTTTTACATTTAAATAGTTTTGGTCAATCAAACTTGCGCGCCCGCACGCAATTGTATCGAAAATATCATACTCGCCATATTTTAATTTTTTTTTCGATTTAATCAACTGTTGGGTGATGATTTTTTAGCACTATGTCACTCCATAAACAAGAAAGAATCGATTACCACTACATTGGCAAAGTTGGTTTGATGTTTAGGCTTAGGACAGAGCTAACAAAAAAATATACACAAAAAAAAGCATATGCGCCTTAGCAGTTGGGTAAAAGAATTGGGATCATATCCTGCAAAACAACGTGGAATCACCAATAAATTTATATCGGATCTATCTTCATGCATAATAACAGCTTGTAAAACTAAAGGAACTACATATCAACTTCTTATTCATAAAACTAACTATTCAAAACTTTAGTTTTATATGCGGCAAGATAACTAATATAAATCCTCTCAAGCTCTAATGGCAAAATATACAATACAATAAAATGCAACAAGAGATCCTAACAAACATCAACGTCTATAAAAATAGATAAATAACATGAATCTTTAAAACACAAATGTATTGAAAAATAAAAAAACTAGTCAGCATAGCAAAGGCAGCTGCCTACTTTATAATATAATATGACAATCAAAAACATGACCCACCAAAATAAAATGAAAGCAAAACAAATTCGAGAAATTACAAATGAGTATTGTAAATGAAACAAAAAATAAAGTATGCCATAAAACAAATTCAGGTATTTAAAAAAATTGATAACCATATCCATAAATAAAACTATCCTATCCTATACATTATTAAATAATATTTTGAACAAGCATAGGTGGGTCATAATATTTTTCACAATAACAAAACTACGAGCATCCTAATGTTTATGCTTCAGTACAAAAACTACACTTTCATTGCCATATAAATAAAATACTAGCTTGTAACCAAAACCCTAGGAACAAGAATTGATTACCACTTAAAAAACTAGACAATCATTTTTCTAAATTAGCCCGACGACAAACCCGTGATAAAATATTGCACTTGAGTCAGCATCAAACAATTCCTGACACCGAAAGTGGCCAAAAAGTTGACAACACAACCTTAAAGACGTGTTGCGAACTTTTTGGCTACTTTGGGTGTCACGAACTATTTGACGCTAACTATACAATGTAATTTTTCGTCGCATATTTCGTAACTACCCAATTAAAGGCCTATTCAAACCTGAGCGATATTCGCTGCCGCTGTGGGTAGAGGTACATAGGTAGACGGTAGCGAATACCCCTTAGGTCTGAACAGTATTATTACCGCATACCCACTGGGTTTTCTCTGCCGCAGACGGTAGCGAATACCGCTTAGGTCTGAATAGGCCTTAAGTTGAGAACATCATAATATTGCTGTCGGACTTTACGTACAAAATATTTAGTTGAGTAATCATTGCCCCTAGGTGTTTTCGTTACATTCAGTATTAACTTTCTTCAATAACAATAAGCCATGCAGTTTTTTTTTTACTTTTAAAAGTTTATTACACTACGCACTATTTACAACTAAACCTTAAAATTAATAAGCGAATATTTAAATAAACGACATGCTTGGAATAAAAATAAAATATTGGCTCAATTAGTTGAAATTAATCCAGGAAAATTAAAATATTTTATGCAATGATTCATTTGGAGTTTGTGCTTTGGTCATATTAATTAGAAATCCTCGAGACCATCACCACTTTTAAAAACTGAGATGAATGACAAAATCCTAGAAATGTTATTGGTATAAATTTGTTTTTTTTTTTATTACGTACTCGTATACGCGTATAAAATATATGATATAGTTTGTTTCTATAAGTACTCCAATTAATTATTAATTCGAACTGTGTAAATTCATAATTAAAATCTTTTTTTTTTATATAATTGATCTAAATAGAAATTCAATCAATAATAGGCATTAATTGTCGAGTTTGAATTAAGTTTTCAGCACAGTTTTACCATCTCGAATTAAAAATTGAAAGATAAAACAGATTATTGTCATTCATCTCAAGTTATCAGAATTATTATTGAACAAATATTGCGTCTTAAAGTTTAGGAATGTAGTTGTTACTGCGAACTCTTCATCGTGATAACAGAAGACATTCGTAGGTAATATTAAACAGTAGGTGCGGGTGAAAATTGCGGTTATTTTTTTGGCTTTTTTAATGATGCTATATACTCTGAAACGGCAAAGAGAAATACGTTGTATGGAATAGAGTAATATTATGTCAGTATTTGCTCGACTCGAGCTTCAATGGCGGTATATACAATTTATCCAAGTTACCATACCATTAGTACTAATGTTATGTTAAAGTATTATCGTAATTATTTATTATTTATTTATTATAAAATTGTGTAGTATTGAAATATAAATCTACTTACCATCAATAGTTCCGAATTCCCTTTCGTGTGCCCGTGTAAGGACTTGTTTGTATAATGTCTCTGCTTCTTTGTACTTGCCCTAGAAAGATGGAACATTCATTATAACAATTTCACTCTGTATCCATATAAGCTTTCAATCACTAATAATTATAAGCACATCCATGGAAAAACTAACTTTAAATTAAATACTATGCCAAACGCCATTCTAGCATGGCAGTGGATTTTGTGCATCCAGAGTTGATATTGAGACCCAGTGGCATGCATATGACCTTTAAAGGTTTGGCCTAACCAACGCGTACATTTTTACGCACGTGAGTTTCTAAAATAGTTAATAGGACCGTTTACAGAATCGCGCGTTTACTTACACGCGCGTCAGCGCGAGATCATTACTGAACGTAGCCTAAAGCCATTAGGCCGCCTGCCTCGAATTCTGCGGGCATCGGGGCGGGCAACGCAGACCCGTTCTCACAACCAGCGGGTAGATCGTAATGTTTATATTCGCGAGCTAAATTCCTAACGCCGTCCCGCTGCCCGCAAAATTCGAGACAGCCTTAGAACTTCGTTTCGAACGAACGATAGTTTCAGCCAAATGACGTCCAGTTTGACCCTTTGTCCATATTGTCAGACAAGTGCGTACCTGTTTGAGGTAGCAAGAGGCGAGGTTGTTCTTGGTCTTGGCGACGTTGGGGTCGTCGGGCCCCAGCTTGCTTTCGTAGATCATTGGGGGAGGCCTATGTTCAGTGGACGTCATGTAGCTGATATGATGGTGATGACAGACAATCGTACCTGTTTGAGGTAGCAAGAGGCGAGGTTGTTCTTGGTCTTGGCCACGTTGGGGTCGTCGGGCCCCAGCTTGCTTTCGCAGATCATTGGGGGAGGCCTATGTTCAGTGGACGTCCTGTGGCTGACATCATGATGATGACAGACAATCGTACCTGTTTGAGGTAGCAAGAGGCGAGGTTGTTCTTGGTCTTGGCGACGTTGGGGTCGTCAGGCCCGAGCTTGCTCTCGCAGGTCATTGGGGAGGCCTATGTTCAGTGGGCGTCCTGTCAGGCGCGGATCCAGCCCTCAAAAAAGGTTGTGGGCACAGCCACCAAAAATTAGCAAAGTGAGAGTTGGATCACTACATGCCCGGACATACATACATGCCTATCGATCTTATCAATAGATCATAATTAAAACAAGCAAATTAGGGTTGTGGGCATGCCCACAGTGCCCACAACGGTGGATCCGCGCCTGCGTCCTGTGGCTGAGATGATGATGATGATGATGATAGACAAGCGTACCTGTTTGAGGTAGCAAGAGGCGAGGTTGTTCTTGGTCTTGGCCACGTTGGGGTCGTCGGGCCCCAGCTTGCTTTCGTAGATCATTGGGGGAGGCCTACGTTCAGTGGACGTCATGTGGCTGACATGATGATGATGATAGACAACGTACCTGTTTGAGGTAGCAAGAGGCGAGGTTGTTCTTGGTCTTGGCCACGTTGGGGTCGTCGGGCCCGAGCTTGCTTTCGTAGATCTCCAGCGCGCGCTGGTAGTACTGCTCAACTTCTTCATATTTATTCTGAGGGAGAAGAGAGTTTATCGAATTAGCAGATGGTTGGCAAGGACGTGACGACAATGTACAGATTCACCAAAGATAAAGACACTTCTCAGCATTTTAACGTTTTAGATTCAGTTACATATTTAACTCCCTGCTCACTCGTGCAACGGCTAAATATTATGTTAGAACCTGTCGAGTCATATAGAAAACACTACTCACTTGTAATTTTATTATACTCGACCAAAGTGCGGACGGTTTTTTGGTCAGTAGCTAGTATTTTAGTTACTAAATGCGAATTACTCGACTAATGGCTTTAGTGACGCTTGGAATCTCATGCTTTGCGATCAGAACCACGCTTCGCCTCGCTTCTTTAAGTTTGTGCTGGCCCTTACGCGACTATTTTTATATTCTTACACCCGTATTCACAAACGATGCTTGCTTGTGAAGCGGGAAATCGAACGCAGTGTTGAATAGAGCTCGGTGATTGGTTCATGCGTGATCCTGTGCGTCCACGCGCACTGGAGACGGCATAAAACCCGGTCGCCGAGCAGATAGAATTTCGTCCAATGACCCCAAGCTACGCATCATTATCGCTCGCGCGTAATTATATTGCTGTCGAGACAGTGCGACGCAGTGAGTGTGCGAGCGCGACAGCAAAATAATTACGTGCGAGCGATAGGGATGGCTAGCTTGGGATCATTGGACGAAACTCTATCTGCTCGGCGACCGGACTCAATACTCAATCGTTTATTGCATAACTACATTAGCATTCACATTAGTAATTTTAGTAATGTTTAAAGGACTTTAGTAATGTTTGCCAATACGGGCGTTAAAACGTTGCGTTGTTGTTCGTCCGCAGCTCACCGACCTGGTTCTGGCACAGCAGCGCGAGGTTGTTGAGCTGCTTGGCCACGTCGGGATGCTCGCGGCCCAGCACCGCCTCGCGGATGCACAGCGCTCGCTTGCACAGCGGCTCCGCCTCGCGGTACTTGCCTGTAGCATTCGTAAATAAAACAAATCACAATTTTGAACATTAGCATCATTAAAGACGGGACTATTCCCTCCCACCTCTCGCTTTGTTCCGGCGTTTCTTCTCAGCACTTGCCATACATATGTTTGTCTCGAAGCGCTGGTAGGGCACAAAAGATAAAGAGACATGTAAAGTGCCCCATAAGGGCTACCTTTTCTTTTTTATTATTTACTATATTTTGACGTTCATAAGTGCCACTTGTGGTCGAAACTGAATAAATATTTTTGATTTTGATTTTTGGTTTCTCATTCCCACCACTGGAACTCCCTTGACCGCCAATAAAAACCCAACCAGTGAAGGTCAAGTTTGTCCCGGACTGTCATTGGACTCGCAACGAAATTAATCAGAAGAAAATAGAAAGAGTTCGAAGGTAAAGGTTAGTAGTCTCGACTGCACTGTCTAATTTATCAGAGTACGACATCCGCGGGAAGAGTGGAAGTCTGGAGGTGGATCCATTCTACTTACATTGTGAAAAAAAAAAAACAAGTAAGTAGGTCCTTTTCCATTTATCAAAGAAAATATTCCGCGCAAATGAGTGCAAGAATTTAAAGGAAGGCTATTCCAAAGAAAATTGCTAAAAGCAGCTGCCGATAGCACTAGCAGCGCTTCAGAACGGTTGGGCGCATTATGTCTAGTGGGCTCAAAATGTACAATTCACAATGTCCAAATCTTAAAATTTACAACTAGTCCAAATCTAAAATCGTCCAATTAGCAAATTGTCCATTTAGTTTAGCAGTGCTTCAGAGGAGCAGCCATACACACCTCGCTTCCCATACAGCACGGCGAGGTTGTTGAGCGTGGCGGCCACGGCGGGGTGGTTCTCTCCCAACTTCTTCACGCGGATCGACAGCGCATCATTCAGCAGCAAGACATTTAGGCTAAGAACTTACGGCGCGATTTACACCCGCGCCCGCGGCGGTTGTGGAATTGCGGTTTTATTTCAAAACTCACGGGAGCGGTTATTTGCGCGGTTAGGTTAAGAACTCACGGCGCGATTTTCACCCGCAGCCGCCACCCGAAAACCACTGAGGCTGCGGTTACCGCGGCCCGCGCGATTCTACTATAGTCTGGTCCGTGAGCACGTAGAATTTTGTCCAATGACCCCTAGCTACCCATCCTTATCGCTCGCGCGTAATTATGTTGCTGTCGCGCTCGCACACTCACTGCGTGTGCCAGTCGCACAGTCGCGACAGCAATATAATTACGCGCGAGCGATAAGGATGGGTAGCTAGGGGTCATTGGAAAATTCTACGTGCTCACGGACCGGGCTTTAGTCGCCCGCCGGTGTCGCGGGACCCGCATACATCCGCGCCCGCTGCGAGCGCAAACCGCGTCGTGAGTTGTGCATTAGTTTTTACATCAGTATCTGCATTCTACAGAAGCTACAGCCGCGAAAATCGCGCCGTGAGTACTTAGCCTTAATGAAAGCTATTCCAAAGAGAGTTGCTGAAAACAGCCGCCGACTGCGCTTGCAGCGCTTTTGAATAGCACCTTTAGTGTAGCAGCCATACACACCTCGCTTCCCATACAGCACAGCTAAATTGTTAAGCGTGGCGGCCACGGCGGGGTGGTTTTCTCCCAACGTCTTCTCGCGGATTGAAAGCGCGTCATTCAGCAGGTTCGCAGCTTCCTTGTATTTGTTTTGGTCCCTGCAACGATGACGTAAGATTAATAAACATACAATTATTATGATGTCTTAATTTTTAGTCGGACACTGACAAAGGACATCAAACAATTAGCCGCATTGTTGTTTAACTTCTGGCTACATCAGCTTGGATGAAAAATGGCCTGTGTCAAGAGCTCCGCTAAGTGAACGAACGTTACTTACGACGAACACGAAATCATCTACTAGACTAGACAGTCTTACTTGAACAACCATCGCCTCTATTAAGAGGTTCAGGTAAGTGATCGCAAGAAAAGATTGTGTAGGATAAGCGACCTGTATACTCCGTAACTCGACATCTCGTAGCGGCCCTATACCACAGAATAAGTAATAGTACAGGTACAGAAGGATTACTCCGCAAGACGATTTAAATAAATGCGAGTCTTGCTACGACGCGATAAAGTGGAATTCAGCTCGCACAGCACTACGTACCTACAATTTTATTCACCTACAAGTTTTGTCTCATTCTATCGCGTGCCTCTGAACTCTTCTTACGCTGTTAGGGTTGCTGTCTAGTGAAAAAATAATTAATCTTCTTATATGTAATGAGGTACGTATGTAGCATTCATGACTCATACGCATTCATTATGGAAAACCTTGGGAGAGGCCTTTGTCCAGCAGTGGACGTCATTTGGCTGAAACGAACGAACGCATTCTGCAGTAGTCATGGTAGGTTAGGTTCCTATCTTAGATTAATTATTGGCTTTATTAATCTAAGGTTCCTATACATTATTGATTACCTACATGGATAACATACCTTTCAGCATCTCTGGGAAGCGAAAAAAAAGATAAATCCGGTAGATTTCTTTTCGAATTTAAACACCCGAACGCCTCACAATATTTTTTTCTCTTTATGTCCATTTTTAAATAATACTTCGATCATAGAATTAGGTACGTACTACAACGCACGCCAGCGTCTTGACGGGCGCGCGCGTGACACTCGACTGATATAATACCCGCCGGCGGGGCGCTTCGCTGTAGGTAATTATCGGATGTACCGCGCGGAGTGAGCCAGGCCTGCCTATACGAGGTCGAGAGCTGTAACATACGGACCCACGAGAGGCCGAATGTTACCCACACAGCGGCACGGCGACCTCGTAGCGGCCCTGCTCACGTACCGTACGAGGTCTAGAGCGCCTCGCGGGTCACTGACCTGTAGACCAGCGCCAGGATGTTGAGCATGGTGGCGACGTCGGGGTGGTCGTGGCCGGAGGTCTTCTCCAGGTCCTCGAGCGCCTGCTTGCACAGCGGCACGGCGACCTCGTAGCGGCCCTGCTCACGTACCGTACGAGGTCTAGAGCGCCTCGCGGGTCACTGACCTGTAGACCAGCGCCAGGATGTTGAGCATGGTGGCGACGTCGGGGTGGTCGTGGCCGGAGGTCTTCTCCAGGTCCTCGAGCGCCTGCTTGCACAGCGGCACGGCGACCTCGTAGCGGCCCTGCTCACGTACCGTACGAGGTCTAGAGCGCCTCGCGGGTCACTGACCTGTAGACCAGCGCCAGGATGTTGAGCATGGTGGCGACGTCGGGGTGGTCGTGGCCGGAGGTCTTCTCCAGGTCCTCGAGCGCCTGCTTGCACAGCGGCACGGCGACCTCGTAGCGGCCCTGCGACGCGTACTGGATCACGAGGTTGTGTAGTGTGCGAAGACGCGCTGGGATCTCGTAACCCGCGTTGACTTGCTGCGCGAACTGCGACGGCGGTGTGGGAGACATAGCTGGAAAGGGGATGTTCGTGTTAGTTTCGTCGTTTCAACCGAAAGACGTCCACTGCTGGACAAAGGCCTCCCCCAAGGATTTCCACAAAGACCGGTCCTGCGCCGCTTGCATCCAGGTACTTCCCGCGACCTTCACCAGATCGTCGGTCCACCTAGTGGGAGGCCTGCCCACGCTACGTCTTCCAGCTCGTGGTCGCCACTCAAGAACTTTCCTGCCCCAGCGGCCATCAGCTCTTCGAGCTATGTGCCCCGCCCACTGCCACTTGATTTTAGCGATTCTGCGGGCTATGTCAGTCACTCTGGTTCTCCTGCGGATCTCCTCATTTCTGATTCGATCACGCAGGGAAACTCCGAGCATAGCACGCTCCATCGCTATTTGGGTGACCTTAGTTTACTAACCCATTTAGGCTGGTTTTAGTGTCACGCGGACCGTCCGGTGCGGACCCGCTCCGCACGGCCAATCTGTATGAACTTCTAGGGAGCGTTTTAGAGTAATGCGGTCCGGAGGAACCGCTCCGCTCCCTAGCAGTTCATACAGATCGGCTGTGCGGAGCGATCCGCACTGACAGTCCGCGTGACACTAAAACCAGCCTTAGGCTGTGTATCTATTAAGTGAACTATAAGCGAAGGACTGTCCGTTAAGGGCGTATTGGTCGCTAACCCAATGTTTATTTTAGGGCGAATAATAGCACCCGACGCATTGTTCGCAGCGAATCAGCTGCTCACAAAATCAACTTGCAAAACGAAAAACGACCAACTACTTAGGTTAAATGATGCATAGAAAACATTCGGGATGCTAAATAAATGAAAAGAAACAGCGGCTTACAGAATAATTGGATACGAGTTACAACCTTGATCTCGCACATCAAGAAAATTGAATAAATTTTGTCGTACTGCCAATTTGAGTGTCGATTATGGTGAACTTAATTATTTTAACTTAGCTGGTAGAATTACCAGGAGTTTGTTAATAACAAATTACTTTTAATGAAAACGGTGTTATGGGACTAATAAACACTACTAATTAGTACACGACTGTGTACAAACAATATGATGACAATGTCAGCCTTGAGCCTTGCCGCGTTATTATTTGCTAGATTGTTATTTCGACACAAAGTAATTTAGATAATTCTGATAAGAAAGATGATTGCATGTTTCTAAGAGAAAGTAACATCTATCTATTCCAGTGACTCATTCAGTAGCCGCTACATGAAGCGATTTCAATTTAAGTTGGCAGGGAAATTGCTATCGATAAAGATTATTGATTGAACTCAAAATAGCGCAATCTATTTCAAGACAATGAATAGACACATTATGTATTCATTCCACTATGATTGCCGTGTTTTCCCTTTATTTACGACGTTATAAACGCTTGGAAACTAGTGCCTGAATTATGTAAGATTTTGCCTTTCTATCGGAACATAGTGAGGCTTTTTTTTAGTTCTACTTTAGGTTTTACATTAAAGAGTAACAATTGTTAACTTATAGGATATTCATCACGTTTCTCTTTCCCACCACTGCAACTCCTGTATAGCCAGGATCTACAGTTTGGCCTCCAATGAAACCCAACTAATGAAGGTTAAGTAGTCCCAGGGGATAGCTTACTGTCTTGGAAACCGCAACGAATTTAATAAGAGTTCAAGGATAGGTGGACCAACGATCTCACAAAGGTAGCAGGAAGGCGCTGGATGCAGGCCGATACCAACCGGTCATTATGGAAATCATTGAGAGGCCGTTATCAGCAGTGGACGTCCTATGGCACCATTTTGTTTGAGGGATAGCGAACTCAAGTCGGTGTCTCCTCGAAAGGATACGCGATGTCAATAGCAAGGGACTCGGAAGACCAACTTCTTGTCATATCCTAAGCATGTCGAGATAAATGGTGAGCTGTCTATTGGCGCAGTGGCTCTATAATAGTTTTTATACTGTGCCAATAAAGTTTTTTCTATCTCTATGGCTGAAATGATGATAATGAAGGATAGGCAGTGACTAATCTGAACTTTACCGGATATATCTGGTTGTTTTTCTGGTCATAAGTGATTGAATGCTTACATTTGTTATTCCTGTTGTCCTCGTGGTCGTCATCAGGGAACAGGTCGACCATGGGGTCGTCGCGCTTGCTCTCCGTCTGCCCGCTGCGCCCGCTGTCCGACTCTTCGTTCACGTCGCTGTCGTACTTGCTGCAAAGGAATAAATCACGGTAAGTCAATAACTATGGAAATTATTAACGCAAAACACGAGTCATTTACATTCGATGGAGTGGCAATGCCTTAATGAAATTCTCGAAGAGGTTCAAACATAGCGAGACGGACCGTAAATCCTGGTAGATGAACCAAACTAAATATTTTTCGTCTATAAATGGTGTACATAATATGTTTAACAATGGAGCTGTAAGATTGACTGACTACATATTATCATCCTACAGCTGGATCAACAACCTTGTTTGCAAGTTGCTCAATTTCCCAACTACTTCTATGTAGTTAGCATTATTAGAAGTCACCATCCTAGAGAACCGTCTACTTGACGGTTGTCAGGGAAGAATTAAGTTGAGGTAGGGCTGTGAAAACTGGTCAGACACAAGCAAAGCATACTCGTGGCACAATAAGCAGAGTAAGTCAGCAAAACCTGCTGACCTGTGTGCGGAGCTTCTAGCTTTCGACCTCTACCAGTGCCCCGATTACGCAAATTTTTAACGTCTCCAATCCATACGCGCTTCTTCTCCAGTGCGCTCCGTTTTTCATTCCAGCTGAGGTGCAAATTCGGTATCACGGTAATGGACGTACCTTCCTAGTATTTTCATTGTCACATTGTATTTAGCTTTACGTTTACGTCTATGCTAGCTGTCAAAACGACATCGTGATACGGATTTGTCAAAACAGCTGATGTTCGTTAGTCGTTCGGGCACGTTGAAGATGAACATTTTTAGCGTAATCGGGGCCCAGTAGTGGGTGCCTCTGACATCTCAGCTCGTCGCGGAGCCAGGCGTTCTCCTGGCACAGCCTGCGGACCCAGTGCGGAGCTTGTCCCTCGCTCTCCCACCAGTGACGTCACCAGCTGTAGCCAGCACTCACCGGATGGAGGCCATGAACTGCAGGTGCTTGTTCTCCTCCTCCAGCTGTGCCACGCGCTGCTCGGACGCCTGCAGCCGCTGCTGCGCCGCCGCCAGCTCGTCGCGGAGCCAGGCGTTCTCCTGGCACAGCCTGCGGACCTGTGTGCGGAGCTTCTGTTTCTCGGCCTCGACCAGTTGCAAGTGGGAGGCGAGGGTCATCATCACCTGGAATGGAGAGACGGGCAGTTTGAAAATTGATGTTTTCAATAGATCAATAAACTCATCAGTCGTCAGGATAGAACAACACAACAATTTCCAATAAAAAAGCAATCGGGTGTTCAGAAAAGAGTACATAAAGTATGATCACGTGGCAATTCCGGGCAATTTCAATTTCATTTAATAGTATTTAGCATATTTTCGATAACAACATTGAAATGCATTATTCACTTAACTACCATAAATTATTTTGCTTCCATAGAAAAATAGTCCTCGCTTGTAAATTGCGCCAGAGCAGCAGACCAAACATCCAACTGACAAAGGGGTGGCGCGTAAGCTTTTGTGATGACGCCCGAGTGGAGTCATAATGTAGTGGTACTTAATTATTCTTTGTGCCATGATGAATGGGGCGTGCGCGCGCTCTCTCGCCTGCGTTACGGACTAAAATGTTTCCTACGGCGGTAAAAAGGACTTGTAAGCTTTCACTTTTATCTGAGTGAGACAATAGACACTTTTACAAATTGAGAAAACGACCTTAATAGTTTACTTGTCATCAAAAGATTCAGACGTTTCTAAGGCGAGTCAAAGCTTAGGTTTTGATTCAAAAGGCGCCTCGGCGAACGAAGATAAAAGGTGACCTAAATGCCGCGCCAAGAAAAGTCCTTTAAGCATTGACTGAATGTAGGACACCCTCACGCCCTAAGGGCTGTCTTTTAAAATACTTTTAAAACTTTCCAGCTAGAAAGCGAATTATTTATCTCGTCTATATCAATGAATTTATGCAGACTGAAACTGGTTCTACTAATTGCTGTTCGACATCTTAATTAAGGATTTATGTTTATCAGCAATAAAAAATCTAGTATTATGCATATCGAATGCGAGCAGTAAGCATATAATTTGGAATTATTAACAGCAATTTCTTTTGCCGCGAACAACTACCGTAATGTTACTCTTTTTGTAAAAAGAGGCGAAGTAAATCACGGTAGCTCCTCCAAAGGGATAAGTTTTCATGGTGCAACGATTCTAGCTTCAGACACATGTAGCGCCACGCGTATCTTCATAAAACCGCAGAGGGGAGACCTCAAACGTGGAAATATGACCATCCACACGTTATGCTCGAATCGAGATAGTGAAACCCAAAGCCCTGACCGCACTCGATCACGTTTCGTTTGTTTTGTTGAGCACATGTGCGGGACGCATGAAGATCGACCAACCGCAAACATGTGTGAAGGATAGAGACATTACTCGTAATCTATTGTTGATAGAGCTTTGTAGCAACAGGTTGAGTCGATTGAAACGTCCCGATAAATCTTCATTCATTCACTCACAGTCAAGACATCTAAACTTATAAATTACATCATCGAAAAGGATATGAGTAAACTAATTTGCTCGATATCTTAATTTTCCATGAATTTACACGTAAATACACGACTCTTAATCATTTCCTCATTTCGGTCACTACTGACGCTCAAAGGTTAAGGCCTACTTGGTCAGAGACTCAAAGCCCAAACCCAGCCAGGGCAAAAAGTTCAGCTTGGCTTTTAGATTGTCATGGTTAATATCACAATCAGACACTGACAAGTGCTTCTGCAAGCCCGAGCTCGATGGCGTCGATGCTCTTCCTGACTATGCTTACTGCCTTCTCGTGGTCTGTATTAGAGGCCAGGCCTGCCAGCAACTGTGCGTGTTCGGCCCTCAAGGCCTCGAGACTAACGTCTTTGACATTAACGTCACAATTGAACCCTCACCTGTGCTTCTCCAAGCCCGAGCTCGATGGCGTCGATGCTCTTCCTGACCAGGGCTGCCTTTTCATGCTCGTGGTCTGTATTAGAGGCCAGGCCTGCCAGCAATTGTGCGTGTTCGGCCCTCAGGGCCTCGAGGCCGGCGGCGACAGTCCGCGCGCCGGCCACCATCTCCTCCTGCGTCATCGCCGTCATCCTGCCTAGGGATTCGATCTTCTTTCTGTGGACAAGATAGGGAATAATGAATTATAGTGCTTATGTAATAAAGATGAAAATCGATGATCAACTCAAGAGTGTTTTGTGTTGTTCATGACACAAGTGAATAGGCAACTTCTGGTCAACTTGCTTCTTTAAAGATCGCGTCTGCATCCTTCATATGAGATTGTGATCAAGAACCAACGTATTTGACAGCTATCTTTATTGATGTTAGTCACAACAAGAATAATTATGTATCATTTGCAAACCTAATCGTGTTGATACATTTTTAACGATGACATACATTTGGGTAAATGAAGCTGCTTTTTTGCACGACACATTTCATATTGCATTAAGCTATTTGACTAATAAATAGCCGAAGACATGACGATTCGCAGACACAGTCGATGTACCTAGTTACGAAACATAAAAATATTTATTTATCATCTACCTATTTAGTTTTCGACAGGTGGAAGGACAAGAGAAAGTATGATGACTCTTCAAAGAATAATTCCACTTAATGATACAATCAAAGTAGCAATATTATCCAAATAAATAATAAGTACTTAAGATTTATACTGCACTGGAGACTGATCTTAACAACAATACAAATCAAGACGAGACAGACAGCAGACACACTTTTTAGTGTGAAAGGTGAAAACGCGATTAATAAACTTGATTAGCTTTATGGATGATCCTATTCATTATTTATTTATAAACGAAGTGAAATACGGATATTATTATCTGAATGCCATTTTTCATTATAGAATTCATTAATTAATATTAGCAACAATAATTTAAGCGTCGTTTTGTAAAATATCGTATTTTTGTGTCTTTCGATTCAGGTCGACATTAAGTGGACAACAGAGGAAGTGTGCATTACGCCGGTCGTCCATTGACACCAGAAAAAAGGTGGAAGTGGATATTGCGAAAGTCGGGGTGCGGCGATATGGGCCGCCGATGTGCCGCCGTGAGAATGTGCGCCGGAAGAGCCGCGGTCGGGGACATAGTGGAGCTGACGTCCTGGTAATTCGATTTGCGATCACTACAATATTACCAAGTAGCTAGATATCTATGTGCAAAATGAGCAGTTCTTATAAGATTGATACAGTATAAAATAAAAACAAGACGTCAAACGCTGAAACTTGGAACAAAACCGGTGCCCAGAGAATTTGAAGCTGTAGTAAGCAAAACCGCTATGTCAAAAAGCACTTTGATGACGTAAAATAAAGATAATAAAAAGAAAGATTTTTGTGTTAAAACACTTTAATAACGTGAAATAAATATCATTTTAACGGTATGACATTTTTGTTAAACTTATATTTATTATTTTTTATTTCACTGAGAAAACAAGCTTCATTTTTTTGAGAAATAGGGTGTTTGTTTGTAATAGAAGGCACATAAAACACACAAAAATAGTGTGTGTAAGTAAATCATAACCGTTACTACATTTCGCCGAAATACCGACAATCTCGGTTACGTAAATAAGCTTTAAAACAAGATTAACGTCAAATGACCGTAACTTAATTAGCGGTTATAATTAGGTAATAAGTAGGTAAGTAAGTGAATAGCCGATACACGAATAACTTAGCAGCTTATTACAGTAACAACATGAATATTTGTTTGGAATAATGTCAGACCACAATAAAAATAAATCACTTTTGTTTACAAAATAAAATAGGGATCATAATTTATTTGTGTAATTAGTGATTAAAAGCTTGGCAACTTGCCTGTGGTAGGTATTAAAATTCATATGTATGCCGATGTTACATTATAAAGGATACAAAGTACAAGGTGTTAACATTATAATCACAGCCATATCAAATTTTAACTATGACAGGGCTACTAGCTGAATACTAATTTATAATTTGAACGTGACAAAATGTTATGTATCATTTCAATAATATGCAAATTACCAAACAGTTTTGGAGAATGGGTACTTCCTCCGTTCTACATTACGAATTTGTCAAGGGTTATTATGATTCAAAACGCAATCTAGATTCTAGACCCTGCCTTTCAAGACACTTAAAAACACCGTTATTTTATACTGTTATCATATAGGTCATAAACGTCACAAATTATGGTATCTTTAAACAGTACATTACATTTCGAATCTAAGTCGTGATCACTTCGTTACGGCCTAAATTACGTTAACACATTATACGAGACGTTGATGTAATTTTTATGCGAAATTCACTATGAATCTTACATTGTCTAGGTGATTAAAGCTAACATAAATAGTACATAGAAAATTTTATAAGTAAGGATTTTACATAAAACCTTTTTGTGAAAAGAGGTGCGGTGAACGATGTTAAAGGAACAAAGGATAGCCTCAGGAGATATTCTAACAAAACTATTATAACTGAAATGAAATTACTAATAAACATTTAATTAATTTCTTAAACAAGCTAACGGTACAGGTATTATTAATTATTTGATTAATTTCAGATTACAAAAAAAGAAAGAAAAGAAAATCTTTTAAGGATAGATAGGAATTTTCATTATTACAGTTATTTTCATTAATTTATCAAAGCCAGGAATGAAATAAGAATAGTGTACATCAGACTTGAACTAGATAAAATGCCACACAAAAATAACTCTACTAACAATTTGTTTATATTTCTTATATCATCACAATTTTATTTTTCCGTGTTTGGGAATAACTTCATTATCAAGGTATAGCTAAACAATATGACCTTCCACAAAGTAAAGATGGTCACATAACAATAGGCAAACACTCGTGAGAACTATACTGAACCTAAACGGTTTAATGGAATAAATACATCCATTTTCTAACAATTGTTCAATGCCGAAACCATTTTGTGTCGTGTATTGTATAAAAAGAAAACATTCGTGTATACATAGGTATTCTTTGTTTACATACTGGCTGCTACTTCAAGCAGCCAGTATAGTTAGTGCTTTTAAGCGAAGCACTAACTTTTTACTATTTTTTCAGTTTTAGTAAAAAAAAAGGGTAAATTCGCCGTAACTCTAGTCAGCACTTAGCCATTCCATTATCCCCACCCCACGACATATGCAAAACAAGTTCGGATTAGAAGTAGATAGGTACCTAGGAAACCAGTCTTTAATGTAAGACAATTAACTCTACTTTCACAATTCCAGATGGCTGATCAATGGAGTCTGGTTCAAAGCACTAAACCCGACTCACTAGTTCGTATAATCTAGAGGTACCGGCCGGTAGCCTTGCCGAATTTGTACCGAGTCAACCCCCTTCTCATGGGGGAGAGGAATGAGCGACGTGGGCCGCATAAAATACCCGTTGCCATGGCTACCAAGGGCGACAACCCCCCTTAACTACGTCTACGTGTTAGGCTCTAGAAAAGGAGAAATTAGTCTACATTTGATTACATTTTCGGGCGCCTATTAATGTTGACACGGTTTCGGAGCGAATGAGTCCAGCAAATAATGCTTGAGGCTTATGTTGTTGGGTTTATCTTGATGACGTCGTTGTTTTTTCTTGGTGTCACAATATGTTTTGGGCGCAGAAACTAATAAAATCGACTTATTACTTGGTATATGTTTGGGTATTCCTACATTGCAGACATCTGTACCTATGTATCTGCTCAAAATATTGAAGCATACTTGATCCCAGACGCAATAAAATCCGTCGTAAAACAAACTCCAATTCACCGGGGGTTACGGATATGGGGAGAGTATCCCTCTCTCGTTTTCTCGTTAAACCCCATGAAATGGAGGCTTTCGTCTTGGCCGAGAGCCAGAAGCAACTGGTACTCATATGATACTGCAATATGCCGCAGATTTGGTAAAATGTTTGTACAGCTGAACAAAGGAAATATTTTCTAAGCAACATTATTGGCAAAAATGACGTCAGTCGTTAAACTAATCCACGAAGCGACACTTACATAACAAATAAAATTAGTGCAACTAATAAACAGCAGGTTTATAAAAAGAACAATAACGGTTTCAGCAGACAATACATCGCGTTGGTCGACTGAATGAGATGCGTAATGACTGCAATGTAAAGATGCCAAGGATAACTTAAGTGTTAAAAAACATCGATATAATATCGATACTTTTCTGCGATATTTAATATTTTGGCATCCGTATCGATTTAAAATTTTAAGTGATAAAACAGTGTTCTGTTTCCATCTAACAAATGAACTCATTATGATAGATTACAAGTCAATCAGATAGCTATTTACTCGTGGTCAGTTGTAGTCAGTAGGAATAAGAGGAAAGGCTAGTCGTTCGTTAGATCGCCAGAAATCTATGCTAAAGAATAATATCGAGATTTCTAGCACTGCCTACGACATCCCTAGGACCACTCTTTATGGCTACTAAATCAGACAACAAACAAGCTAGACTCGGCAACGACAACGAGTGACTCACGGGCTGATCAGATAGTACTGAGAATAAATGTGATCTGCGAATCACAAACAAACCCTAATGCAATTATACAGTGTTCATATAAGGACAAAGGCCGGCCAATCGATGCGTCTAGACATAAAGGCAACCGGGCACGGCTGTAAAGCCTGATGCTGAATTTTAAACTAAAATGTCTCGCCTGGTTCATTGATCTGTCCGGATTCCGACGGTATGAGATGATTTAGAAATAAATATTTAAAACACTATTTCGTGATGCGATTCATTATTAATATTTTTCTGTAAATTGTATCCAGCTTAGCAAAGTTGAGCAAATAACGAAAAAAGTTATGTTAACATTTTCATCAATTAGTTTAGACAGTGCAAAAGTGTTAATTAATAACTAATGAAGCTTTCATAAAATGCTACTCTGAATATTTTTCACAATCTCTAGTTTTTGTTAAAATATTACACTTCACGGATCAACACAACATCAATACTAGACTAATGATCACTCATTATCAATATGAGACCGCAAAGTGTGAGAACTAATTAAACCTACGCGGAATACCCAGATTAATCTGAACAAGTTCTACCATTAACAAATCTAAAACCAAATACATCGCTTCTGCTTCAGGTGGGACATGAACTTCAGAACCCACTGCCTTTCGACATAGAGGGGACAACTTCTACCGTAGCATGCACGTTACAATCAAATGTTTAGGTAGGCATGCAAAGTCGTGGATTTCGATGCCAGCACGTATTTTCAGATCCATATTATCCCCCCTCACTCTTAGAGTTGCTGAAATTAGTAAGACCCAAGGACGTGTGCCATTTTTTTCAGGTTCAAGTTATTTATCTTCATTTTTTATAAAAGCAATATAAATGCTAAAATCTCAATACGTTAATCTAATACCCACTACCCTTGAGCAAATCCTTTCAAGGTCAGTAAGCCGAGAACTCTAGATGGATGATTCTGAAAGGGCACAAAAGGTCAAGGGCGCGAATTTAGACGAGCTACTTGGCTGAAATTATGTAACAGGTACATTCTGGTAATAATGCTGACAAGACAAACCGTCTGGAAGTTGATTTAAAAAGTAAATTAATAACATAACAAAGGCTTGTAAAGGTTGGCTGAGAGATATAAAAATAGAAAGTGATTAAAACAAGCTGTTTTCGAGTCAGAACTATCTTAGTTAATCGGCTTCCTCCTTTTATAAATTAACAGCAAAGCGAAAGTTACAGACGTGACTGATAAAACTAAGTACACCGAATGTACGTAAGCGCCTTCGGAGGAAACAACTTGGAAACAGTTGCTGCCCAACTTCGTCTATTCGCCGAGATGAGATTTTACAAGTTGTTTCAGTGTTTCACATACTTTGTAGACTGAGCAAAACAAAGTTTACGAAAAATGAGAAATATGCTATCGATTATGCAGATTCAAGAACGAAACTGGGGCTTTTCAGGCCAATACGTATGTGTCCCCATAAAGTAAAACGTAACTTGACCATCGATTTTCGATTAAAACTACATGCCTATAACAATTGATGTTCATCACACCCTACACGAAGAAGAGTCATCAATAAACTTCGTTGACGACATAACAGCTTTTTAAAAGCAAATGTTTGTATTGAGGTTGATGATGAGCAAGTCTAGACGGTTGAAACACTAATTAATGACCCGTAATTCGGCCGAGATTTATAGAGCCACTTCGCACCATAATTTATTCCCAAGTGCGCTAATGTAACGTCCATATTGTGCAGAATAATTAGTCTACAAATAAAGAGATTTGAAAATCTGATGACGACTCGTAATGTTTCTGAAAAGTTTTGCAATGTTTTTTTTTATTTATAAAGTTCCTAAAATACTAATTATTCAAAAACATATCAGTCTGAGAAACAAATACATTGAGACACTTACTTTCGTACACTCTGTCGAAATCGAAACAAATTAGGTACAACCATGTTGTCGTTGTTGAACGTTTCTTGTGTGTCAACAGTGTTATTGTTAAACAGACAATGAAAAGAATAGGTGCTGACATGACGAATACAATTGAAATTGAAATGTAACATAAATAACTTCATACTCACATTCTGTATGCGTTCAGAGTCTTCGACATTATACAATTGGTGGGCAACTAACAAATTAATCCATTTCACCACACTAGAACGACGTAATGAACGGCATTCTTATCACACAACTTCCACGTAGTAAATATTGTAGCAAAATATTGTTTTATGACTAACTTCTAAGTTCTAACACTGTCCACTGTAAATAAATGTAAATTTGAATTTCAGAATTTAAAAAACTATTTGTAGCAACCTTGGAAGGATGTATGCATGTTAATTTTTCATTGTCACGAAAATCAATATTGCATGAGGAAGTAAGTTGTTTTGACAAAACAAAATTAAAATGGTTGTATGTAGATTTTTTAGCCCGTTTCGTTAAATTTTCGTTTTATTAACTAAACCGACATATCGTTATCGAAACAAACAAAAACAGGGCATGAAACGCCATGAACCCACTAAGGAAGCGTTATCTATGTATATCGGCTCAGGTCATCCACGTGTGGTTTTGGCACACATCGTGAGGAAAATAAATGCCGTGCCAATAGTTGCACAATTCTTCAACTGTACGCAACGACGCTATACGTTTCCCCCGAGAAAGAAAGAGTTCGAAATATAAACTGAAGAGTTAAAATAGATCAACTCCTACGCAACTCCGCCGCTGGTGTGTCGTTGATCCCTTTAACGCATTCGTTGACAATGCTATCGCCTTTTGTTTTTGCATCATATCAAAGACGTGTGGCATTATTTGTTATCAAACATCGTATTTTAGAATTATTTGTTTTTGTATCGTCATAAATAAATCCAAGCTACATATCGAAGTCGATCGGCGTAAGTTCATTAATCCAGATACAACGTCATAAAAGAGAGCTTTATTACCACAGTAAACATCGGGTGCCGTTGTTTCAAGCATGTATTCCATGATGGATGTGGGAGCTTCATTTTCCAAGAAACAAGAAAACTACAATAGAACACTAAATAAGTTAACGATGCCGCAGTGCGCAACAATATTAATTTAATGAAAATACTTTCGCAATCACTCAGTAGCAGCAAGAATAGGAAAATAATTAAACCTAGCATTTGCGTTGAAATATTTTAATATTTCATTATTTTTTTGCAGATTGGTATTCTTAAACTATTCGGTTTTACAGTGAAGATTAGATGTATTATTACGTCCGATTGGATTAACGATACACACTTGAAAATATATTCGATGTTAACTTAAAATATTGAAGTAAAAATGTAAATAACGCATGACTCGGTGGAAATCATGCTATAATTGCGAATCTAACGAGCGATTTGCAACTACATTCTGCTTTGATTCCGGTAACTGGGTGATTTCATTTGACGCGCAACTGCATGAATTGAATATTTGATATGAATAAGACAATGACCTGTTAACGAATGGCGATATGAATAATAAAGAGTTCCACAGATTAGTAACCATATTTTATGAACTGAAAACTTCATTCTGCCCGGAGTTCCTAAGGGAAATCTTAAGCTCAGCAAAGGCTCTCCAACATTTCAACGGAAGCGGTACCCTTTGACTCAGAGAATTTAAATCAGCTAGAAATCCTTCGATATTTCCGAGTGAAACCATGAAGAGAGCCTTTTTGCTTCCTGCTTTTTAATACTCAGCAGGGTTCGAGGATATATATCAAGGGATATATATCTTGATATATATCGGATATATATCCGATATATATCCAGCCGGTTTTGATGATATATATCAATTTTTAAAATTTGTAACTGTATTTGTACTTTTTCACATAAGATTTTTGTTTTTTAGTTGATTTTGCCGTATTTACAAGAAGATTTTATGTTTTTGCTTTATTTGTCTGATTTTAAGTTTTAAAAACATTAAAAACATGTTTATGTAACACATATGCAATGGTATTCATAAATAATACAATAAAATAATAGTATAGCTTTCATACAAATTTGATATATATCAAAGTGGATATATATCGGATATATATCATAAATATCCGANATATTATGACATCTTCAATAGGCAAGCTGTAGTTTTCTTTTTTACCTCGAATCTATTGAGAGTATAGATATGTGTAGACTTATGTATCCTATTGTATATAATTGAGGAGAGGGCTGCATATTGACGTCTAGCTAAGGCTGTACGGCATTTTATCGTGGGACACACGTGAGTTGAGGCCCGTCGGTGATTAAGATGGGAATTCGTTTGCAGTTCCTCTCACATCAAATCAAGAACAGCAAGATCATCGTGTACACGGTTTTAATAAAACGTTTTATTTATTTATTAATAAAATTTCACTGCCATTACTTGTCTTGTCCTTTATCCTGATTCATTAGTCTAAATATAATATATAACTCAAAAGCGACTGACTGACTGACTGAATGGCTGACTGACTTACTGACATAGTCTATAATATACGAGTAGATCTATCAACGCACAGCCCAAACCACTGGACGGATCGGGCTGAAAGGCATGCTGGTAGATGTTATATCGTAGGCATCCGCTAAGAAAGAATTTTACAAAACTTCACCCCTAAGGGGGTAAAACGGGTTCCACGCGTACGAAGTCGCTAGCATAATTATAATTTCTTACATGTTATTAGTTTCAAAGAGATTGATTAATTACTCGTGAATAAGTTAGTAATTAATACGTTGTTTTTAGGGTTCCGTACCTCAAAAGGAAAAACCGGATCCCTTATAGGATCACTTTGTTGTCCGACTATCCGTCCGTCTGCCTAATTTTCTCAGGAACGCGTAGAGGTATCAAGCTAAAATTTATACTAAATACTCAGGTCTACTGTCCTTTGGAGCTGTGAAAAATCAAACTTCTAAACCAACCAAATCAAAAGATACAGCCGTTTATGTCGCAAATTTTCGACACTCTCAGGGGAATCAAAACGTACAGGGTACTTCCCGTGAACTCAGAATCTTGAAATTTGGTACGAAGCAACGTCTTATAGCACAGATTAAGTAAAAATTGCGAAAACCGTAAATGTGTAGGTACATCAGACATTAAAAATATTTTTAAAATTTTAAACTTCTACCCCTTTCCTCATGAACGCGTACTTAGAGGTATTAAATTGAAATTCATATCAAATACTCAGATCTATAATACCTTTAAGCTGTAACAAAATCAAAGTATATACCTACAGGTTTATACGGAACCCTCGGAGCGCGAGTCCGACTTGTACTTGGCCGGTTTTTTTAAAAAAATTTTTACAATACTTATTTGAATTTAATATTAAAGATTTTATAGAGAATACTGTGACCAACCACGTCGAAACATAAAAAAATCATATCCAAATTACCTACTTATTTAATTTTTAAAATCAATAATTCATGCTTTCCATTCTTAGACATTTTTGCTAAACATGGAAAGCAAGCACGTGACACGCTTCTTCTCAGCACTTGCCAAAATAATGTTTGTCTCGAAGCGCTGGTAGGGCAAAAAAAGAATGACACATGTATAGGCTCCTTAGGAGCATTTGACAATTTGTAAGTATTAAATTAATTAGTCTATTTGATTAAAGATAATTTTTATTTTCATTTTGATTTGTCAATTTAACCACATAGTTTATAGTTGCCTTACAAATCTATGAATACTTCATATGGTAGCCCCCTATTTTTATTTCAGCCGCTGCGCCTCAAAACCCATGCATTATGCAAATCCCTTGTCTCGAAGTTTTGACCCGGCGCAACAGTTTGGTACCTGAAAACCCCTAGGTGAATCTAGGACTGGACTGCCCGCCGCTGTATCGATTAGTTTCAATAGTAAACGGAAGCGAGACAGCCTACATTAGGTATCTCATAAATCGCGCATTTAAATTTCGTAACATGTTTTGAAGACTTTCCGTTCGTTAAAAAAACTGGGTGTATGGCGAAAAAAGTTCATAAATTATTCGAAGATTAATATGCAAGTGGTTTTTTGTTGGTCTAATAAGGCTAAGGAAGGTTTGATGGATAGGAGAGCTGAGCGGGGAAACGCATCGCGTCTCTCAGTTTGGGGTGGAGGGTTTTGCATGCAAACGCTGCAAGGGCGCCTCCGCCTCCGTCCGGGCGGGCGGTCTTCATTCGACCGCCGCGCGCCGACCGAGTAGGGCGCGCTCGCTGTTGTCTCGCCGTTTTTAAAATCTTTGAACATTTGAACTATCTTATACAGTGATATTGAACATTCATAATATCAGTGTTTATTCTAATTTCGTGTAGACTCTAAGTGCGTGTTTTAGAGTAGTTTTCAGTAGGTTTTAGATTGAAATAATTAGTGATTATTGACAATAATAGACAATTGACTTATGAGTGCATAAGAAATACCTGAAAAGACTATAAAACGCCGGTGTTCATGCTGTCTCTTTGCTGAGTTAAAGGAGTGTGTTAAAGGTGAGTGTCCTTGGTCTTTCAGAAATCCTTGGGAGAATTTTCCCTTGGCTATTGTTCCGGCTAGCCGGCTCAGCAACAGGTAGGGGTTTTCTTGATAAGGACATCAACGCGTCGGTCCTCATGATTTCCTTGTGGTGGAGATCTTTTTTTTAAATAATTATGTTATTCATTTGTTTTTATTTTTCTTTGTTTTATTGTGTTTTTGTTTTTTTAATACTTGTTAAATACATGTTTTTTTGATACTTTGTTTAATACATTTTTACATTGTTTACGATTTTGTTAATAATTAAAGGGCAATAAATAACGATGATTATATTTAAAGTAATAACTTTTGACTAAACTAAGCAAAGCTAAGCAAACTATGGCGACTTAATAGCAAATAAACGTACTGAAATAAATATACATTGTTAATATTACGCTGTGTGTAAAATTATGCTAGCGCTCGCAGCTTTAAGATTGCCTGAAGCGGGATTCGAATCCGCGCTCTCGGCGGCGCTGTAGTCCGATACGCAAAGCACAATATGGCGGCTGTTTAAAACCAGCTAAGCGAAAAGGTCTGGCGATCTCAAAATTAATAGCTTTTAATTGCTACGTGCGAATGGTTCAAAATAAAATTCAAAAATCATGTAAAGTTTTGTGAATACTTTACAATATTCTTTAAAAAGCTGCGCTAATGACAAACAATTTTTTTGGCAAAATTTGCATTGAAACTTTTTATTTGGCTGAGTGTACGTTGTTGTATAAAAAAAATGTTCACAAGTTGTTTGGTGCCCAAAGTAAAAGCTTTGCTTAGTTTGTGATAAAATAAATGGCGCTAGGCTAAAAACCCTCATT